GGGGGCGGCCCCACCCGCCTGGGCCTGGGCCCGGCGGCTCCTCCCTCCCCCGGGGTGCGGGAGGCCGGGGCGCCGCCCCGGGTCCACCCCTGCTGAGGAGGAGGCTCGGGTGACCTGGCGGTCCCCATGCACACCGGGCTGGAATCTGAGAGAGGGCGCAGTCCACCCCGCTGCTTTCTCCCACCAGGAGTGAGGAGCAGAGCGCAGACGCTGTCAAGGTCATAGCAGAGGGAGCAGGGCTGGAACACAAAGATCTGACTACTCAAAAAGTTGTGTTTTAGCCCTTTAATGCCAGCACTCGGGAGGCTGAGGCAGGAGGATCGCTGCTAGTTTAAGGCCAGCCTGAACTACGTGAAATCGTGTCTCAGAAAAACAGAAAAAAAAAAAAAAAAAAAGTGTTTTAGGCGGGTAGGGTGATGAATGCCTGTAATCCCAGGGCTGGAAGGCTGAGGGAGGACCACAGGTTCAAGGCAGTTTAGCTAGACCATCTTAAAACAATAAAATAATAATAACTGAGGGGGTCCTAGCTCAGTATGGAAGCCTTGGGTTCAATTTCCCATACTGGCTGGATAGGAAGAAAACGTTGCCCCACTCATTGCTGCGGAATTGAGGACTAGACCAAATGGAAGACAACACCAGAGGAATTTTGGAAGGCAGCTTTATTACGCTTGCGGGCTAGTGGGATCTCAGTTCCAAAACCCCGTTTTGGGGTCCTACAGTCACCTATATAGGTCCTCAGAAGGAAGTACAAAAAGGCAGATAACATGACGTTCTGTCGTTGGTCACAAGTCTTTGGCATTAGTTGCTAGGCAGAATGTACTCTTCCTAATAAGGTTACTATCGGGTAACCATTGTCTGAGACTCAGCAGAGGTATCCTTGAGGCGATAAGCAAAACACCACTGTCTGGCCAAGCTGCACTCCTCTCCCAGCTGGCTCCTTAACCTTTGTAGCTTTCTAATTATGAGAACCGACTGTGCCTCCCAGTCTTATCCTTGAACAATGTTAGAAATATACTAGTGTTAGAAATATAAGATTAAAATTTTCTTTACATTTAAAATAGCCTCTACATCATGGTAGCTCTTTGCCTCCTGTTGCAAGAACAGAAATAGACCTGGGCAGAGAGAATGACAGAGTTGGAAGCTGAGTCAGTGTCTAACCTGAGGCCAAACCCATCCACACCCTCTGACTGAGCGTCGGGAAGCGCTTCTTCCCCACAGCAGCCCCACCTCGGTTCACTCTAAACCCTAGAGAATGAGGGGTTACTGGACCAGTTGCTTGCTGACTGACAACTCTGTCCCTTCAGGACACAGACTGAGAATGGTGTGCCGTCTGCCAAGCGACTCAGATGCTTGGTCCCTCCTGGTCCGTGTAAGGTTTTGGTTCTATTGAGAGACACTGACAGAGATAAAAGCCTGTATTGCTGGTGTGGGAGGGTCGCCAGGACCCTTGGAGGAGGGAGCTGGGGAAGGGTTTTCATTAGGTTGGACTAGGGGTGGAGTTAATATGGGCAGGCGAGGTGTGGTATCGAGAGGACTGGGGGTTAGTTGGTGCTTGCATGAAAAGGGAGCAGAAGTTTAGTTTGGGACTAGAAGAAGAACACAGAAGTGAGTCTTGGAGGGACACGTCATTTTGGGATTAACGCCATACTGGATTGTTGCCATGATGGCCTTAGCACAGTTTTGTGTGGGTTGAGACTCATCCTTCCTGTCTTTTTGTTGTTAAGGGGCAATGACTCTCTCAAACTGCTTCCTGCTGACAGGGGGCGTCATGATGGGGGCTGCTGTAGTCTTTGGGACAATGAGTCAGGCCCATGTAGAAGCTGGTATCTGGAGTCTCGGCCCAAACTAGCTGCTCTCTGCTGGTGAGGGCTCCTAACCTAGACTGGAGAAAGATTGGAAAAAATTCACAGAGGCAGGGTGTTATAAACAACAGGATGATGATCATGGAAAGCAGGCCAAGGATGGGAGGTAGGATAGGTGCCCATGAGTCAAGAGTTGATCCCCACCAAGAGGGCATGGGCAGACCAGGGGGTCATCTCTTTTCATTTTATCCACGTACTCGTGAAGCTTTTTTACCTTATCCATGGTGATACCTGATTGGCTGACAAAATAGCAACATTCCTCTCCAAGCACGGCACAAGTACCACATTTTTCTGCCATTAGGCCATCAACAGCATGTCTGTTCTGGAGAGTTACAGCCGCCAAACTGATTTGATTTTGGAGAGCGGCAATGGATCCTGAGACTTCTTCTATTTGGAGTCAGCTCAAGGGAGAGTTGCTGATAGAAAGAAGTAGCCATTCCCAGCCCTCTGGCCCCAAGACCTGTCCCAAGGGCAGAATGTATCCCTACACCGATGAGAATTGGGTGTGGGCAGTTCTTGTTTTTGGGGTTAGATGGGTAGCCAGTGATTGTGTTAAGAGGGAAACCTTTACTGTTTCTTGAGAATTTAGGGCTGGAATCAGAAGGAAGAGTGCAGGTTCTCTTCCATCTAGCAGGGAGACAATTGTAGGGCAAGCCATGAACCAGCCTTTGGGAGGGCAGATGGCTCTAGAGGCTTTGGGTATGATATATTGAGTGCAGTGAGTGAGGTTTCCAAGCGTGAGGTTGCCCCTTGTAGAACTTAGGCAGGTGAGGTTATGGGGCCAATGATCTATGCTGTAGATATTGAGGGCCGATGATCTGTGTTGTGGGTGGGAAGGTTAGACAGGAAGTATTCCAATAAGCAGGGGAGGCCACATATAAACCCTGTTGAAAAGGAACACAGAACCAGCACTCTGTAAGATTGGAAGGAGTTGTGTAATGGGAGGTGTTTCCAGTAGGTGACTGACGGGTTTTCTGGGGTGGATTGTTGTATGAGGTTTATGATGGAGGGCGGGGTTATCACCTGAGATGTAAAGATAAGAAAGTTGCCTGTTCCTCAGAGTAGGTGCTGATGCCATTGTAGAAGGTGATTCCCCAGCTTTTTCCCAGCCAATATGGAGGGTTCGATGCATTTTTGATAGTGAAGTTTATTATAATATCTGGGGCTTGAGGGGCATTTTCCCAAGATACTGTGACATATGGGTCTGTTTCCAGGAGCTGCCATCATGGTAGAGGCCAATGGTTTCACATCCCCATTTGGAGGTGTAAAAATAGGTGATGTCAGAGCATTCTCTTTGGTGGGGATTGGAGGGGCACAGTGCCAGGTAGAATCATGCCTGTTCACAGGTGGTTTCAGATGTGCCCCAAATTTCCCAAGTATTGGCATAAGGGTGGGGAAAGCAGTAGGAGACAGTGAGTTGTAGCTGGGTTTGTGGTGGGATGAAATTAGCATAAGCAATGAGTCTCCCATCAGCCAAAGAGAGAGAAAGTACATACTGGGGCTGTTGCTGAGGCTGAGGGTAACAGCAAGGGACATAGGGCCAAAAGGAGGTGCTGAGCGTGGGACATGGCTATGGAGATGTGGGAGGACAGGAAGTTATCTGATCAGGACAGACAATTGAGAGTGGACAGTCCAAGGACCATCACCCTGTATAAGAACAAGAGGGTAAGTTTGTGTGGGATTTTATAGTCTTTTGAAGAGGTCACCCAGAGCCCAATGGTGCATACAAGGATTAGCAGGTGAAAGAGGATCAGAAACCAGACTGAATAGCAATACATAGGTTAATCCAGGAGTTTATCAGGGATTTTGGTGAGATGAAGACGGGTAGGGGAAAGGAGGTGAGATGACCACTCTGAGAGTTTGACACTAAGTGTGACGGGATCGTTGGGACACTGTTTAACCTGGGTGATGTGGAACCAGGAGGATAGTCCAGTGACTTTGACTGCTGTTGGTGTCATGAGGGTGACTAGGTGTGGTCCTGTCCACTTGTGTTGTAGTCCTGTGGGCTTGGAAGATTTGAGATATATGTCTCCTGGAGTTATAGGGAGGTTAAGCTTGAGGTTATCTATTGGTTGTGGGCAGCAAAGATCAGTGTTGTCCCAGAAGGTGTCTGAGGAAGGAGAGGATTGGGATATAATCAGCAACAGAGGGAAGATTTTTGTGAGGCTGGGAGGTTGTGAAGTAGGAAGGGTCTACCATACATGAGCTCAAAGGGACTTACAGAAGTAGGTGCTCAAGGAAGTGCTCTGAGTTGGGTAAGGGCTAAGGGAAGGAGCTGGGGCCAAGGTTGTTGTTGTAAAATGAGCTTTGTAAGATGTGCTTTTAAAAGGTCATTTGTCTTTTCTTCCTTTCCTGAGGATTGTGGATGGTATGGTATGTGTAGATGTCAAGTAATATGGAGGTTTGAGGATACCTGTTGAGTGATCTGAGAGATGAAAGCTGGGCTGTTGCCTGACTGGATACTTTGAGGTAGGCCAAATCTGGAAATGATATCTTGTATAAGAGCCTTAGAGACGACATCAGCAGTTTCCCACAGTGGGGAAAGCCTCTATCCACACTTAGAAAGTACAGACAAAGGTGAAAAGGTTTCTATGAGACTTATGGTGAGGTTTGTGTGTAAAATCTATTTGTCAGTCTTCACTTGGAGCATGTCCATGAAGTTGGTGGCTGGGAAAAGAAGAGGAAGGTAGGGGCTGGGGATTTAGCTCAGCGGCACAGCACCTGCCTGGAAAGTACAAGGTCGTGAGTTCGATTCCTGGTACCTGAAAAAAAACAAACAAAAAAAAAAAGAAGAGGGAGGTAAATGTCCCTGAGGTCAGGTTTTGGCACAGAGTTGGCAATTGTGAGTAATATGGTGGATGATGGTTTTTAGGGAAGGATGTGTAACAACTGGAGATACGAGCTTATATAAAGCCTGGGTGCCAACATGAAAGCAGTTGTGCAAATTTTTTTATAATAGTTTACGTCTGCTGGTCAGGAAGGAGGAGTTTTGGACCTTGAAAAATCCATCCCTGAGGGTTTTTGTTGCGGGTAGACTTGTGTAGTAATTCGAGTTGTTTGGCTGAGTATTGGGGTGGGGGTAGGATGGCAGGGATAAGGGGTAGAAGATGGGAGGGATATGGCTGATGTGCCACCGATTTGGCCTGTCAGTGAAAGCATTACCCTGAGAAATAGGGTTTGATGACATCTGATGTCCCCTGCAATGGATGACAGCTGTCTTGGAAGCTGTGCTGTTTGTAGTAATGTGAAGGTAAGAGGGGCATTGGTGATAGGGGTACCTTGAGTAATGATTAGTACCCTTTCTTGCCAGATGGCTGCATGAGAGTGAATGGTACTAAATGTGTATTTGGAGTCAGTATAGACATTTATGACTTTATCTTTGGCCAATGTGAGAAACTGTGGGAAGGCTGTAAGTTCTGGCTTTTGTGAAGATGTCCCAGGTGGCAGTAGACTAGACTCTTATTTTGGACTTGTTGATGATGTGGGTAGACTTGTGTAGTAATTCAAGTTGTTTGGCTGAGTACTGGGGCGGGGGTAGGATGGTTGGGATAAGAGGTAGAAGATGGGAGGGATATGGCCTTTGTTTGGGTGTCTGTGTTGGTTGAACTGCCATCTATGAACCATGTGTCAGAGGCCACAGGAAGAGGGGTGTCACAAACGTGGTGGGGGGGCTGGGGTCATTTGTAAGACCTCAACACAATCATGGTAGGGAACCTCATCAGAGGTAGGGAGTAAAGTGGCCGCTAGAGATAGTGACTGAGAGGTCTTGTATGAGTAGCAGATGGACCTATTGTAGGTGGGAAGGAGTCATTAGGGCAGGGAGTGTTTTGTGCATTATGAGCTCATTGAGGTGATGTGGTGGACTGGACAGTGATCGATTGTCCTGAAGTGAACTTTTTTGCTTCCTTTGTTAATATGGCTGCTGCGGCAAGGCCCAAAAACAGGGGGTCCACCCGGTATTGTGCTGTCTGTTTTGAAAGGTATGTTACTGCTTAAAACATTCCCTTTTGTGTCCTACAACTGCCACAGCATTATGGCTCTGAAAGGTAGTATACAGAATAAAGGGTTAGGTTGGGTTTGGAAGAGACCTGGGGTCTTTAAGAGAGCTTCTTTTAACTTGTGAAATGAGGAATGTATAGGGGTAGTGGGATCAAATGCTCTGACAAGGAACCTTTGGATGCTTTATAGAGAGGTTGAGCAAGGGTTGTAAAGTTGGGAATCCAGAGGCAAAAGAAATTGGCTAGGCCAAGAAAAGACAGAATGTGTTGTTTTGTAGTTGGTACCTGAAGGTCATGGAGGAGGGCTTTGCAATCTATAGTGACTGAGCAAGTGGTGGGAGTGAGGGTAAGTCCCAAACATTTGACTTTTGGTGAGGCTATCTGAGCTTTGGTGGGAGATACCCTATATCCATGACTTAAGAGGTAGTTGAAAAGAGTAGCTGTGCATAGGATGGGCAGCAGAGAAGAAGGTCATCTACATATTGAAGGAGGGTACCGGGTTTGAGGTAGGGAGTCACAAGGCTAACAGCAAGGGCTTGGCTAAAGTGAGAGCTATCTCTGAACCCTTGTGGTAGGACTATCCATGTGAGCTGCAGACACTGGAGGGTATCTTGGTCTGTCCACATGAAAGCAAAGAAGTCTTGAAAGTCAGGGTGTAGGGGTACAGTAAAGAATGCATCTTTAGTCTAGAACTGTAAAATGGGAAGTGGGGGGGGGAATATGGGACAGCAGTGTAAGGGTCAGGTACCACTGGGTGAATCAGTGTCACTGCTTTATTGACAGCTCTGAGATCTTGAACTAAACAGTAGGAGCCACTGGGCTTGAGTACAAGGAGAACAGGGAGAATCGTAAGGTGAATTTTAAAGAAAATCACTGGCTAAGAGGCGTTGGGTTATAGGTTTGAGTCCACATTGGTGTTCTGGAGTTACTGAATATTGGGGGACATAGGGAAAGGATGAAGGATCTTTGAGGCAAATGAGCACAGGAGGGAGTGGAGGTGTCCCAAACTCTAGCAATGCCAAGAGGAGGAAGGGGAGGGGCAGAAGTGGTAACGGTAGTTGAGTCTGAAGAATGAGAGCCATGGGAAGAGAAGGTGAAAAAGAAATCGAGCTTTTGAAAGACATTCCTACCCAGGAGGGGTGGGCCAAGTTGAAATGACAAGGACATTAGGGGTGAACAAGAGGGTTTGGAATCGGCAGGGAATGGGACTGTGTAGGCGGGCCGTCAACTCCTGCAACAGAAATCACAATCAGGTACAGTAGAGGCAAAAACTCAGGTAGAACACTGTGTGTGGCCCCTGTGTCAACAACAAGTGTTTTACCTGAGATGTCCAGCAAGACTTGGGCTCTGAAAAAGATTCCTTGATGGGGGCCTTGGACCATGAGCCCCATCCCTCCTCTTTAGCCGTGAGACCAAGCAGGTCGGCTAACGATGACTCCGGCAGCAGCGGTGACATCTCCTGAGGATAGCGAGTTAGGTGAGTAACCCACTCAATGGCAGGCAGGGTAGTCAGACTTCCAGTGACCCTCGAGATTGCAGATGGGACAAGGTCCCAGTGGTAGCCGTGGGTTGGGGCAGGCTTGTGCCCAATGTCCTGCCTTGCCACACTGAAAGCACTGTCGGGGGGGGGGGGTCCTTGGGTGGCACTGCTTTGTTTTCGCACTTTTTCAGAGCGCCCAAGTGCCATAGCCAAAAGTTGGCATTTAAGCTTGGCATGTTGTCGTCTGTCCTGTTTTTGTTGTTTGTATTATTGATGACATGGAAAGCCAGATTTAGATTTCCCTGCAGGGTCTGAGGACTAAACTCTGCCTTTTTAAATCTTGGCTGAATGTGAGGAAATGAAATGAGATTGGGAAATGAAATGGGAATTTTTTTTTTTTTTTTGGTTTTTCTCTGGTACCGGGAACCGAACTCACAACCTTGCACTTGCCAGGCAGGCGCTTTGCCGCTGAGCTAAATTCCCAGCCCCTATGAAATGGGAATTGATGAGGGCTATACCCTCAGAGGATTAAGGATCTACATGTAGTGTATTTGGTTTGGGTATCAATAAGGCGAGAGAGGAACTCTGCAGGGTTTTCATCAGTGCATTGGGTCTGTTCATGAAGTTTATGGTAATTAGTTGGCTTGTGAGATATTTTGCTAAGGCCCACGATTATGCAACTTGTCACTGTCATTATATTTATGCACTGCGAGCCGTTGTTTCCTTGACATTCCCAGTGGAGGTTTGCATTTGGCACTGCAGTGGCCCCAGTGGGATCAGGGTTGGTCTGGTGTCTGTGGTCGGCTTCAACTTGTGCCACTTGTTGAGGGGAGGTGGATGTAAGAACGACATAGAGGTCTTTGTAATGTAAATCACAGGATCAACTACAAATTGTAATTCTTTAATATTGTTGTGGGGATCTGCAGAGAAAGAGCCCAGTCTATGAGAGATCTGAGAAAGATCAGAGAGGGTAAACAGGCTGTGTATGCAAACCATCCCTACCAAACCCTTTTAAGGATCATGACAGGATGTCCCTTTCCTTTACATCAAAGGCTTCCGTTACTCTCCCATCCTTAACCGAGCACCGGGTGCTCAGCTGGGTCTCTGTCTGCCTGCTCCTCGAGGACCCCTCTCTCTTGTGGAAAGCCCTTCTGTGCCCTACTCCTGAGGAGGCTCCTGAAGATCACGGCAGCTCCAGCACAGTGACCTCAAAGCTTCATGTGACCACTTTCACATAACAATGAAAAAAAGCACACACTCATTTTGGAAATATGATTAATAAATTTTCAGACTACAGTAACTTCTTTAAAAACATGCGTGCAATTAGGAGGGACAGTAACATTTTAAAAGCTAAAAACATAAGGTGGTTTTTATTTTTTATTTTTTGGTACTGGGAATTGAATTCAGGACCTTGAGCTTGCCAGGCAAGCACTTGTGCCACTGAGCTATATCCCCAGCCCATCATAAGGTGGTTTCTAGTGTGGATTGAAAAGGCCACAGTAGTAAAATAAACCAGTAATTCCATTTTACACTAAAATATCTACTGTTGCAAAGAATGAACAGTTTCTTTCCAATGGTAACTTTCTCTTAAATCTAAAGAAAGCTTTATACAGTATTTACAGAAGTAGTTTAAGTTTTATAAATTACTCAAAATTTTTAGAAGACATTTCTGGCTCATAATATGAACCATGTACCACACACAAAGGTAGTATGAAAGCCCTTCACAGTCTTCTACTTATGTCATTTAAAAAAAAAAAAATGTTCATGAGACCTTGACATTTAAGAATTAAAGATATAATGCCAAATGTAAGAGATGGACAACTCGATGAATAAAACGAAGATACTTCATATGAAGTACAAAGTTTCAAGACTTAGATTATTCCTCAGTATAACTTCATTACTTCTGAAGAAAATTACATTTACACAAATATATGACTATTGTTAAAAATAAGTTTAATTGTATGCATTTATTTTGACATCATTCCCTCTAAATAGGAGATCATACAAGTCAAATAAAAGTCTGATCAGCAAGTAAAAAGTAGAAAAGATTTCACCTTAATTATTCTGAAAAAAAAAAAAAAAAAAAAAAAAGTTGTGTTTTTATTTTAGCAATGTGCTGCTCTAATTAAAGCGCGAGTGTACATCTGCATGGTACTCACAAAGAAAACCACTGTTGCCACGATCAGTTTCCACTAATTTCTTCTGATAATTAAAACAAACATCTCAAAAGCATTATATGCAAGTACCACATGAGACACAGAATTTGTGGAAAAAATGAGTTATTTACATTTATTTTATTTTTACTCCTACAAATATAAACTAGAATCATCTGTACAGTACAAATAAAACTAAAGATGTAATGCTATTTGGGAAACATAGTCAAGAGCTTCTTAAAAAACCCTTAACCTGAGCGTATGAACCCCGAGTCAGCGGGGACCCTTCCTGTGTGTGAGGGCACACGGACTGCACCGGTGTTCACACACATTCTCATCCTTGCACACAGCTGCACACAACACAAAACACAAAGCCAACATGTGACCTCCCAGAGGGCTTCCTGTTTGTAGCAACTGAGCCCCAGGCAGCCAGGCAGCTCTTCTCACATTTCCTCCAGACTCCTCCGAATAGCTTCTTCTAGTTCCACATCTGCATTGAGAAACAGAATGTTAAAACTCAGGACAGACACTAATCAACATGTGCTTTATGTATATTTATCACTATATTCATCTCTTTTTTTTTTTGTTTTGGGAGACAGAGTTTCACAATGTAGTTCAGGCTGGACTTGAACATACAGTGGCCCTCCTGACTCAGCCTCCCTTGTACTAGATTACAGGGGTGTGCCTTCTCTTTGCAAGAGGGAAAGAAAAACCCAAAGTTTCTCCATAGAATGGGGCTGGAGGTACAGCTCAGCGGCGCTACACCTGCCTGGCAAGTGCAAGGTCCTGAGTTTGATTCCCAGTTTTAAAAAAAAAAGTTTCCCCATAGTAAAATATGTGTAGTAAAGCATCTGGATAGGATGAGGTTGAACTTGATATACATGAACTTAATATAAGGAACTGCAAGTTACTTCTAATTAGAGATGGGAGAAGTCAACAACTGATATGTTATCACTTGTTTCAACAATGAAAAAGTATTATCGCTGTTTTTCTAAAAGATCTGAGGTCAGACACATGGAACAAAGGGAATGTCAGCACTAGAAAACAGAAAAATCTTAAGGCGGTGAAGAATTCTGCTTTTTTAAATTTGTCAACTCTACCTCAATAAAGCTGGGGGAATTAGCTTTAAGCTCTTTAGCATCTAAGGCACAGAAAAATGCATGGCCACGTGTCTGAGAACATGTAACATACGTACACCCGCCAAATGCCCACCACACACACCAGCAGCCAGGAAGCAACACTGGGCCAAGGGCTTCTCTCCACCTGCTTTCCGGGAGTGATGCTCCCCAGGGGTGAGCTAAGTGACCACTTCCTGGCTGCACCAGCTCCTTGTGCTGGTTCTTTGCCACTTGGTCTCTCTGAGCCCACCGGGGTCCAGGCCCCAGCGATCCTACACCATGCAGCTGCAGCTCACTCTGCATGGCAACAGTTTGTTACCTTGTCTGCATCCAAACACTGCATGCTAGTATCCACTGTGTGTGTCAGCCAGTCGGGTCAGTGGTTTGCCCTTGCAATTCGAAGGGGCAAGACAGAGCAAAGAAAATCCAGGACACACTCAGCATGGAGAACAAGGCGGCACAATTTTTTTTTTTTTTTTGGTTTTTCTCCGGTACCGGGAACCGAACTCACGACCTTGTGCTTGCCAGGCAGGCGCTTTGCCGCTGAGCTAAATCCCCAGCCCCAAGGTGGCACAATTAAAGGAGCTGCAAAAACTTTTAGCAGCTCCTGGTGGCGCAGGTCTGCAGTCCCGGCACTTGGTAGACCCAGAGAACTGCACAGGCACATTGGAAACAGAGCCACGCACACACGGAAACATTACAGAGGGAGCTCTAACATAGCAGGAAGTTATCTTTTTAATAAATGGTGTGTGTGTGTGGCTCACCTGATAGGCTATGTAGTAAAGAAAAATTACCCATCTTAAGGAATGCAGAAAAATAATTTCTGATATACTCTACATCTAACTGTGATAGGCAAAACAAGTCTCTAGAAGAGAGTACAGGGGAATATCTTTATGGTCATAGTGCAGCAGGGAAAACCACATGGAACAAAGACACATGGACAGGAGTCAAAAGACATTATGGAAAAGACTGCTGACCTGGACTTATTCAAAAAACACCACAGTCCTTGGGAGGCTTAAGCAGGAAGATCACTGACCCCAGGAATTAGGGACCAGTCTAGGAAACACAGCAAGATCCTGACTCCAAAAAGAAAGCATCATTCGATGACCAAAAGGGCAAGTCATAGAGGGGAAAAAAAACTGCAATACATGGGACTTGGATCCAGAGACATCTAAGATTTTCATCCCAGAAAAATCAGTGAAAGGTAATCCAGCAGAACAAGGTCGAGATGTCTGAAAGCCTGTTCACAAAAGATGAGTAAATGGTCAATAAACACTGTTCGTCAAGGCTGGGTACAGCGTGAGGCCCAGGGCTTGGCCCCCGGCACATAAACAACAGCAGCCAAACAAACAGCAAACACTACTCATCAGAAAAATATAAACTAAAACCACAGAAACACTAGTATGCTACTCATCGCATACCCATCAGACCAGCTAAATGTGCGAGGACTAGTGAGCTGACGGATCAAGAGAAACTCAGCACGATCACTTTGGAAAATCACAAGTAGTTCTCCTAAGTGTACATCCCCAAAATGTGGACACATGGGCATCAAGAGACACGTACAGGGATGTCCACAGTTCAGTTACTCCGACAGCCAAAACGTACAAACAAATGTCTGTAAGTGGTGAGCAGACTGTGGTATAAGCAGGTATTAGAAATAAATCGAAGCTACATGCTAAAACACAGGTGACTGCAAAAACAGACTAAAGGAAACCAGACACAAAAGAATATAGCTCATGCCTGGGCTGTCCAATATGATGGACAATGACTCATATATTTACATTAATTAAAACGAAATAAAATGGAAATTCAGTTCCTCAATCAAGCTACATTTCAAGTGCTTAACGCATGTGACTGGACAGTGCATGCACCAGACATCTGCATCATCAGAGCAAACACTGTTGGTTAGTGATGTCCATATGATCCCATTTAAAGTTCAAAATCAAGCACTACCAACCTGCAGGGGGTCACAGCCTGGTTCCAAATGCCGGGAACGACAAAAGGGAAATAATGGAAGAGATGGAAGAGGAACACCTCTAAGGTACTGGAGGTAGGGTGACCTCTCTCAGAGGACAGGTCCTAACCCAGGGACAGCAACCCTTCTAGAGCTCTCAATGATTCGAAGGGCCTGTTGCGGCACGTGAGCCACAGGTTCGCCACCACTGTCCTAAGCGTTGCCTTAAGTCTGTCTTATGCTGGTGTAACAGACCAGCCAAGACTGGGTCATTTACAGAGAAATTTTTCTCTCACAGTCCTGGGGCTGAAGTCCACAGTGAAGAGACTTGCGTTTGGCAAGGGCCTTTCTGCTACATCATGCTATGGCAGAAGCAGGGCACAAAAAAGCAAGAGAGGGCCAGGACTGGTTTTGTACCAACCCACTTTGAGTAACGAACCCATCCTGAGAACACGGAAATCCACTGATGAGTGCAAAACCCTCTTAGGAGCTCCACTTTCCCTGGTTAAAACCACCACAATGGCAGTCAAATTCCAACGAGTTTTCTGAGGGACATTCCAAACAGCAGCCCCGTATCTGTGGAAGTCATCTAATCTGGAAGCAAGGTCTTTGCGAATGGAATTCAGATGAGGTTATTAGGGGGAATCTCAACCCGACATGAATGGTGTCCTCCTAGGAGGGGGAAGATAGCCACAGCAGGGTGGAGGTAGATGCTGAAGCGACGCATCTAGCAGCCAGAAAGTTCCTAGAACTGCCGGAAGCTAACAAAGAGAACTGCTAAAAACCTGATTTTCTTTTTTTGTTGTTTGTTTTCTGAACCAGGGTCTCACTAGGTGGTTTAGGCTGCCTCAAACTCACCATGTAGCCTGGGCTGGCCTTAAACTCTCGGTGATTCTCCTGCCTCTGCTTCCCAAGTGCTGGGATTACGGGTGTGCACCACCACACCTGGCTGTTTTACATATATTTTTATCTATATATTCCAAAGTAACCACCAAATAATAATTCTATAATTCTCCCATCATTTAAAAAAAAGCTTATTAGAGTGAAATAGTAAAATGAACATGAATGTATTAATATTGACAGTGAACATATATGAATTAATCTTGCCAGTTAAAAGACTGGATAAAAACAATAACCACCTACTGCTTCTTCCTATCTTCCCTTACTTTATTAGGGGACTAGTTTGATCTTTGTCAGTTAGTTCCCTTTTATATTTTTATTTTCCAATTAAAACTTTTACCTGTAAATACCGTTAAGTTTTTAAAAAATTTTTATTACTCCCTGTTTGCAGTATGTAATTACATCCCCGTGGGGAGCTGGTTCATGCACACAGCATGTCTTAGCTCTCTTGCCGCTCCTCCTCTCCCTCCCTCCATTGCTCCCCTTTCCTGCCTGCGAAAGATCTGTCTCCCTGCTGGCTATTATCAGTTTTTTATTTTGTTCTTTAATTTACATATACTTTGGGTTTCTCATATTAGACTTACTTAAGCTTAAGTAAAATAAGGCAACAATTTAAATGTTGCTTCATTTTTAACTGCCATTTTAAATGGTAAAAACAAAATAAAACCCTGTCAACCAATAATTCAAAACTATTCTTTGAGAATGAAAAAATTAAGACATTCTCAGATCAACAAAAACTGAAGCTCATTACTACCAGATGTTCCATTCAAGAAATGCTAGAGAAAATCCTTTAGATTGAAAATAACTAACATTAGGTTGTACTTCAAAGCCATATGAATAGACAAAAGCACGCGAGGAAAGTCTGTTTATTATTCTATTCTGCAGCTGGGTCTGTGTCCCTCTTACTCTTTCTGTCTTCACTGCACTCTCTTTGAAGGTAATTATGAAGAATAAGAGAGAATTCAATGATAGGGGTCAGAAGACCCTATACAGAAACGGTATCTACATAATTTTCAACCTGTGAATCTCAAGACAATACTTTGAAGCCTCAGTTTAAAAGAAAAATGAAGAGACGATGGTATTTTGACTGACACAAGACCCTTAGGGCATTATTGTGGGTTACCACGGCCACTCAGTACTTTTCTAATGAAATTACATACTTTAGCATAATGGTAGCTGGCTGTGTGCCTCAGCAGCTGCGCCTGAGGGATACTGGAGGCAATCTCTGCATTCGCCCACTTGGTACTACGGAGAGTAAGGTGTGTACACTTGTGCAAGTGTCGGACTGCAGTTTTTACCCACATAATGCTCCGTGCAGCATTTCTGTGTATGTATCCCTGAACCACACCGTTTGTCTGTTCTGCAAGTATCGAATCTGCCACAGTGGAATCCAGGTGTGATGCTCCGTGGCTGTGCCTGGGAAAGCAGGGACCCATCTCTGCGTTCACCCACTTGGCAGAAGAACGGCAGCGAGTGCACAGGCGCTGCAGAGCAGCAACACGTAAGTTTTACCCATGCAATGCTCAGTGCTCAATTTCTTACATTTAGGACTTATTTTTTAAAAAAGTTTTCTTTTGATTGTAGAAGTAGCCCAATTCAGTACAATGGCATATGAAAAATCTAGTTGCTGTAGCTTTAGGCAGTCTATGCCAAAAAAGCCTGCAAAATACGGTATAAAAATATATGCCCTGCTGGGCGTGGTGGCACACGCCTGTAATCCTAGCACTTGGGAGGCTGAGGCAGGAGGACTGTTGCGAGTTCGAGACCAGCCCGGGCTACACAGTGAGCTCAAGGCCAGCTTGAACTGCATAGTGAAACCCTGTCTCAAAAAAGACACACACACATACACACACACACAAATGCCCTGCCAGATGGGAAAACATACACTTTGGATTAGAGATACATCCTGGAACTCAGCCACCGGGTCTTTTATGTGTATAGTAATGAACCCAATGATGTTGTGAGCAGACTTGCTCCCATTTCCAAAACTGTAATGTGACAACTGACAACTGGTTTACTGGTTTCTGACTGATGTTACATTTACTAACAGAGAACAAGTCAACCAGCATAGGCGCTGCACATAAAAACAAAGCAGAAATTCCCAAAGTAATGTTGCAATTTCAAAACAGAACTGTATAGGGGCTGGGGATTTAGCTCAGCGGCAAAGCGCCTGCCTGGCAAGTGCAAGGTCGTGAGTTCGGTTCTCAGTACCGGAGAAAAACCAAAAAAAAAAAAAAAAAAAAAAAAAACAAACAGAACTGTATAGAACGATTTCAGAAAAACAGAACATGGGCCTCAAATATGGCAAAGAAAAACTGGTACTGTACTGCTGCTGTCAACACTGCACCATGATAGAAATACTGATAGGGAAACCTCGACAAAACTGAAGCCTGAGATGGAAACTTTCTACAACAAAATCAAAGGCAGGGGAGAAGTTGATGCGCTATGCAGCAACTATGATGTCACCTAAAACACAGAGCACTGTTCAACGGTTGCGTTTCACTTGATCCTGAACATGTGTGGCATGAATAGTTTGATAGTTTCCAAGGAAGACAACGGGGAAAATATGGAGAAATTTTCTTAGAGAATGGGGACTGGAACTCGTAAGAGCTCATTTACAACAGAGGACAAACAAATTGTTTCTGCCCAGAGAACTATGCAAAAAAATTGTGGAGCACAATGGTGAGCTTACAGGTGAATAGGCAGGTGCAGGCTCCCATAGACCTAGTACGACAAAAGGAAAATGAAAAAGATGTCAACTGTGCCCTACAGAAAACAAAACATGCCTGCTACCAATGTAAGTGATACTTGCGTATGGAGCATGCAATTTTCATATGTGAAGACTGCCTTGGGTGTGACAACTGAAGCAAAGATTATTTCTGTAGTACACTTTTGTTTGTATTTTCATTGCAGGAATTTATTTCTGATGTTATCTTTTAGGTTTTGTAAGCAACTACACAGCTGATGTGAAAATGTTGATGTCTATTCCAAGCACTCATTACATATTTGGTATTTTACTTTATTGATATCTTATTTTCCTGCTAAGTGCACAATGTACAATATATTAAGAAGCATCTGACAAAACAGCAAGACCAGCGAGATGTCAATATGTCCTACAAAAAAGACATGAAAGCCAAGCACATGTGCTGTCAGTGTGAGTGAGACGCGTGTACGGTATGTGCAGTTGTTGTGTGAAGACTGGCTTGGGTGTGCCAGCTGAAGCAAAGACTATTTTTGTTTTAGAGTTCTATTGGTATTTTAACTGTAGGTTTTTTTGTTTTGTCTTTTTGAGACAGGGTTTCACTATGTAGTTCAGGCTGCCGTAGGCTGGCCTCAAGCTCATAGTGATTCTTCCGCTTCAGCCTCCTGAATGCTGAGATTACAAGTATGTGCTACCATGCCCGGCAGAGATCTTTTAATTTTTTTTGTGTGTGTGTGTACTTGTGTGTGGTGCTGGGGATGGAACCCAGGGCCTTGTACACATATGGCAAGAGCTCTACCACTAAGCCTCATCCCCAGCCCTCTCACTGTAGTTTTTATAGGATTTTATTTGTTATTTTTTAGACTTTGAAAAATCAAAAAATAGTCGATGCTGAAAATTTATGTTGTTTTAATAAACATTCAATAAATATTAAAAATTCAATACTTTTTTGATTTTTTCCTGTTAGGTACTCATTGCTTAATACACTAAAACTCATAAAATTAAAATTAATAATTCAACAATAGAAAAATATTCTAAAGAACTGACACAGATCTTATATACCCTTCAGTATGCTCCTTGTACATAAAATTGCCATGATGGTCATGGGGTGATGAGCAGTTTTGAAAGTAATAGTTTGCTTTTAAAGAGTAGCCAAATTTTTAAAATTAACACTGTAGCTTCTTTTCTTTTTTTGGTCTTTTTGAGACAGGTCTTGCTATGCTGTTCAGGTGGCCTTGAGCTCACTTTGTAGCCCAGGCTGGTCTCAGACTCGCAACAATCCTCCTGCCTCAGCCTCTCGAGTGCTGGGATTACAGGTGTGCGCCACCATGCCCGGCTTTTAACACTGTAGTTTCTTGTATCCCTTCTTTGTTCTTTAAGCTGGTCACAATAAAGCCAGGAGTGGTGGCACAAGTCTGTAATCCAGCACTGGAAAAATTGAGGAAAGATGGTCACCACAGGTGTGAGGCCAGCCTGGGCTGTGTAGTGAGTTCAAGGCCATCCTGGACTACAAGTGAGATCCTGACTCAAAAAACAAAAACAAAAACAAAACTGGTTGCAAAATGAAGTTAGTGTTAATAATACAGATGACTGCTATTAATCCAAGGAACTTAGCGCGGGCGGCAACCATTCACATGTCTTTTTCCAGGGCTCTGAGTAGGCACACCTCCACAGTAGAACTTGTAGGAAGGTGAATGAATGATGTGAATAATGATCATAATCATACAAACAGCAGCAACAACCAATACACACCCTGTTTACCATTTGCCATGTTATTCTTGTAAAGTAGGTTTACTATTATTTCCACTTTTAAACACAAGGAAACTGAAGCACAATGAAGTTAAGCAGCACTTGACACATTCAACAGTCAAGAACAGTAAACCCTGGGGAAGAGGTTAGAAGAACCTGCTTTGCAGAGGTACCATATTATATATACTGTATTTGAATATCTAGTTCCCAACAACAAAAGAATAAAAATAATATAAACAGCAAAATGTGAAGTGAGATGACTTGTCTAATGTTCTACAACATGTAAAACTCAGAGCCAAGTTTTAACTTCGGCAGTCTAAATCCAATGTCACATTTTACCACATTATGTAGCTTCTATTTCTCCTGTTTAGTACACAAGAGATTTTATATGTAAGATTCCTATGACTGGGATTGGCCTGCATGGTCCGAGCTTGATACTGTTTATGGAGGACAGTGAAGGATATGCAAATTGTCTGGAGTGGGAAGTTAGGAAAAGTTTGCCTTCTGCCATCGTTTGTCCATGATACTACTGTACTGGGAAGGTAAGGAATTAGAAACTGGAGAGGATATTTAAGTATTTGTAAGCTTTGTTATCCCAGTCTGGACAGTAGCATTACTTTATTTTCATGGCAAAATCAATGCTTTATTAACAACAGTCTTCTCCCAAATGGCCTTTGTATTAATTTTCCTTATCCAGTTACAGTGACATGGGCCCATTTGGCTCATATTTTAAGACTGTCATGAAATTATTTGTTCAATAAGAAGCTTCATTCAGTGCCAACTGGTATGCTGGGTGCTACTAAAGGAAAAATAAATAAAACATGATCCTAATTTCTCGAGAAAGTCAGTTGAGAGATGTAGACAGAAATATTTTAAATCCACTTAGGCAGTGGCAGCCTAGCGGAGGCAGCAATTAGTATTCTATCTAAAAAAAAAAAGCAAACTGAGAAGCACTGGTCACAGAAAATTCTACGTGGTCCAACCTAAGAGATGACATTTAAGCTAAGTCTTGTTGGGTAAAGAGGAAAAGAAGTAAAAGCATTAGAACTACACAGATCCTCCTCCTTAACTGGGTAGAACACTGCATGGTCCTCATACTTTATGCTACTCTTTGACTTTCTTGGAAAAGAGAAGATTGTGTTGGAAAGAAAATCAAATGATATCTAGTAAAAAGTTTAAACTATTTTTTCTTGAATCCCTTTGTATTCTTTTTCCAAACTACAGAATCATAAAAATGTAAAACTTCAGTCTCCAGACCATACAATGAACTGCACAGGCAACAAAGTGGTAGAGGTTTTGGTACAGATATACTTACACACAACTCAGGTTTCTCGGGTTAGCTACAAGTCCCCCAAATTGTGAAGGTTTCCAAAGTGTGATTACCTGAAAAGTTCTAATTTTGACAAGCATTTTCCTGGAATTTGTCATGAGTTGCAGATAAACACTGAAAGATCTAAATTCCTTACATGATCTCTTTTAGTGGCCTTGACACACAACACAGCTGGCGATTTTTGTCTGACTCCTTATATGGCTCTAAGCACTGCGTTAGACTGTGAAAGACCATGTTTGAAAAACAAGTGGGACAAACTAACTGTTTCAATTAGGTTGCAGATTTTCTCCCAATTTTATTTAACCATGTAATTTTGTCTATGAGAAAGATCAGGATTTTCTAGCTTATCAGAAGGACAAATCCATTTCAAAGCCAGACTCAAATGCCCAAAGCCCTAACAGCGTTCTCCCACCTTAGTCAAATTAACTGCATTATACAACAGATGGAGTAAAGCACAGAAAACAAATGAACTGTGTGATTGTGTAAGGTGAGGGTGAAGGGGTGAGACAGGGAGGGAAAGGATTCGCTCTACTAGGTTACCTTCCGTGGATCTCAATTCTTCTACAGAAGAACTTTTCACACCCATGTTATCATCACTGTCACACTCTGTAAGAAACAATCGACAAGTGCAAATGCATTTCTGAACAAGTCATTGTGCCATAAACTGCCTATTCTCAACCAACATCATTTTCAGTGACTTCCCTTACACCCAAGCTAACTCATTTTTAGTACTGTACCACTCACCCAGCAGGGTTTTAAAAAATGCTAACCAAATATTAAAAATGATAATTAAGTTAAAGTCTTCTTCAGTTTTATTTTACTTTATTTTTTGCCTGAGACAAGGTTTCACTATGCAGTCCAGGCTGGCCTTGAACTCACTTTGTAGCCCAGGCTGGACTCAAATTCACAGCAATCTTCCTGCTTCAGCCTCCTGAGTGCCGGGATTACAGGCCTGCACCACTATGCCTGGCTACAGTTTTAAAATCATATGCATTCATCTCTAGAGGGATAATACCATAAACTTTAATTAATAATGCTACTGAATGGCATAAACTCACCTGCTGTGCTAACCTGCTGTGCTATAATGAGACCCTTATAAATGACATAATTGACCAAATGTTACAAAAATCACACAAAAGCTTATGGTATTATCAGTATCCTAGTATTTGGCTAAATATTTTTAACTAAAAATTTCAGTGCATAAATGCCAACTTACATCAATATATTAATTATACATACATACACATATGTACAGGTATGTACAAGTTAGATATCAACATGATATACATGTTATAATGACTGAACTGGGAGTTAAATAACTGAATACAAGTTTTGCACATATTGATTTCTGTTCTAACAAAACATACATTAAAAATTAAAGACTTAGGGGTTGGGGACATAGCTAGGCTGTAGAGTTATTGGCTAACATCATGGATTTCACTGTCTATAAATAAAAATTAAATTCTTATATTTCATCATATTCCTTTCTTGCTGAAATACACTGTTAGAAGTCATCTTTTAAAGCACACTCCTTCAAATACTTCAAGCAATGTTTTAGAGAAATAAAACATTTCACTTACAGTCTGAAAAACGAAAGTAACCCTTTCAACATCATGAACAAAGACAAAATACTCCGGAGTTTGTGTTACTGCAGTTGAAAGTCAAGGTCAGTCAAAGGCAGGTGTCCTAACTGATCCAAGCACGGCCCTACTGCATGCAAGGCCTGGGCAAAACTGTATGTCTGGATCACTAGAGTTAGCCTGACACTGCGCTGCCAACTTCACAAAAGGTTTCTTTAGCTTCAAGCAACTGTGCCATTCGGATGGCCGCCCCCAAACAGCCCAGTCTCACTAACAGGCTAAGAAAACCACAGGCAGAGGAAGTTTTAGAACTAAATTGAAGAGCTAGGTCTACAAGGAAGGGCTAGGGCTGGAGCTCAGTGGAGGAGAACTCCCCCAGGGTGCAAGGCGCAGTGTCCCCTCCCTAGCACAGGAAACAAAAGTGTTAGAAGTAAATTCAACAATTACTTTATATGCCTGTTCCACAATGCTACCTCCATCATCTATTCTTTCATATCACCAAGAACTTTCATATTTAGTTGTGCTTGTTTGTTTTTTTTCCAGTACCGGGAATCGAACTCATGACGTCGCGCTTGCCAGGTAGGCGCTGTGCCGCTGAGCTAAATCCCCAGCCCCCATATTTAGTTTTTAAAATGAACTTAAAACATTTGTACAATTGCTAAACAACAAAGATGTCAACCATAAATAAATGTGTCCACCTCATTCATCCAAGGTAAAGCCACATCAAAGAGATGTAACAGTCTTATTATTTTTTTTTAGATACCGGGAGTCAAACCTGCCAGGCAGGTGCTGTGCTGCTGGGCTATCCCCAACCCCAAGGATGCAACAGTCTTAAAAACCTGTAAACAGACCATCTGATAATCTACTAGCAAAATCTTTTTCACTGTATCTCACCCTCCAGGGAGTAGACATTGGTCGAACACTGCCTGTATTAACTTCTGGGTATTTTGGAACATGTACCAGGTGGAGGAAAGGTGGCACAGACAAAGGATGTGTCTTGCAAGTGATTTAGAAGCGTACGCTGTACTCGAATAGCTCCTCTTTGGGGTTCCTGTGCCACCATGTGGAGCAGCCTCTCAAGATGGTAACACTGTACTGGTTTAATTACGAGCTAAAGGTCCCAGGGCAAGTACAGGGCTAGTCATCGCCTTTGACCAAGTCTGCCACACAATGCTTAACTCTATAAAAAAGCACCAGAAGTCTTGTGAACATAGTTTTATCGCTGGGTGTAATGGCACACATCTGTAATCCCAGCACTCGGGAGGCTGAGGCAGGAGGATCATCACGTGTTCGAAGCCAGCCTGGGCTACAAAGCGAGCTCAAGGCCAGCCTGAACTGCACAGTGAGACCCTATCTCAAAAAGACAAAAAAAAAAAAGCAGAAAACCAAACTTGTTTTATCTTCCAACAACATCAGTCTTCTTGAATATTGGAAAAAGCAAACTTTTTAATCTTTATGTAAATGCTGCAGTGTTATTAAACTATAGCAGAACATCTTTCATGATTTTCATTCTTAAAATATTTCACACTAGGTGGTTATCTGCATTGTGTCTCCATCTCTGAAACATGACATGAGTTAAAATGAAAACGTGTTTGTGAAAAACAGAAAGTCCAGCTGGCGCCTCTGATTAGATCACAGAAATGATCCCTGAATCTTGTAAGTTTTAAGAAACTTAAAATGTTATAAAAAAAATAGAGCTGAGAAGGAGAAGGGTGTAATAGAGATCGATTAAGGAGAGGCCGCTAGCTGTTTAGCTGTCTCTATAAGCATTTATCCACATATCACACGACGCTGGTGATGGAACCCTGAGAGGACACAGCCATACCTTGCACCTACTCTGCTCACCACCAAGCACAAAAGAATGCCTTGGGGCCAAAATGATTGCAAATCAACATATTGAAACAGCAACTCCAAATATCTCTATTTTTATCTAGTATCTCCTGAAATGCTTTCCACTAACTGAAGAAAATCTGCTAGTGAAACTAAATACACAATACCACATGTTCACTGACTCTCATGACCCTATTTAAGGTACTTTCTAGATACAAAGCAATTTTTGGTCTAATAAAAACCACTTTCTAGTTTTGCTAAATTTCTCAAAAGTTAGGGGGAAAATGGGCTACAGATGTAGCAGAGTGGAAAGGCCTTGTTTATTCAGAGAGAAAGCTTTCATTACATTTCTCAAAAAGGCCTCAAATCCACACTGCCGTAAGAAGCAGTCTGGTTGTCCAAGCTGAGGACAGAACCCCAGGCTAAGCTACATGGAATGAGTTACCCCGGCACTCTTGTGATAATCAAAGTTACCCCAAAGTGCAACCAGATGATTAGTGGGAAGCCAGACATGGTGACACACTCTAGCAATCCCAGTTACTCACTTGGGAGGCTGAGGCAGAAAGGTCACTTGAGCCCAGGAGCTCAAGGCTAGCCTGGGCAACATAGTGGGACCCCATCTCAATAAATGGGTGAATGAATATGAAGTGGGGAGAGACAGAAGAGAGGGACAGATGGGGGAGGGATAAAGACTATGAGAGAATGAGAGTTACTATTAGTGTACATGGAAACTGTAAGATTTTGAGTCCTAATATATATATATATTAAATATTGTTTGTTAATAGAAAACATTACTGTACTACCTACAAAATCATTTGTTAGGAAAGGGAGGGGATAAAATTTTACCCAAAAAAGTGATTTTTCTTTTATTTCGTATGATAAAATTCACTAGCATCAATTTGATGGGTTTCAGTCTTCCATAACGAAAAAAACATTGTCTTACATCAGACAACTAAATGTCAACATACTATGATTCAGTTAAGCTTGTCTTGAATTTTAGTTACAAAAGCATTATATAATTTATCAGGTTTCAATCTAGATAAAGATAAAACCTACTGATTTAAAGACACTACATTTATTTGACCACTTAGCTATTTTCATTACTTTAAAAATGTATGGCCTAAGAGTATTTTCTTTTTATGGTAGTATAGTAAAAATAGCTACTATTTATCAAGCACCTAAGTGCATTGTACACTGTAGTAGGCACTCTACCTACAGCACTAACTCTTAGAACTTAACAGATAAGGCCAAGGAAAAGTTGAGTGGCCTGAAATCACAGCTAGAAAGCATTTGTTAGTATTCAAAGCCCATGCCCTTCTTTATGTACTGCATGATCTCTGCACGTCACACACACTCAGAATAAAGTACACATCTGTGCCTCCAAAGAGCAATGAAGTTCAAGTGAGTACTGACTGAGTAATAAGAGGGAAAAGGAGAACCCAGACCATGGGAGGCACTCAGAGTGGCGCACGCAGCAGCTATCAATAGCCCATATCTCATCTCCAACTCTAATGTATCCACACAGACCTATTCATATGCAGCTCCCATTCCAAAGAAAATGGAAATGGGCAAATCCACAGCAGGTTTAACATAGAAACCACAAAAAAAAAAGTTCCTAAAGTAGCAGCACAAGGAAAAGGTTGCTGGTTTGTTGTGAAGGTAGAAATTAATTCTCTAGGGCCAGGTGTGATGGCACATGCCTGTAATCCCAGCACTCAGGAGGCTGAGGCAGGAGGATCACCACAAGTCCCAGGCCAGCTTGGGCTACACTGAGTTCAGGGTCAGCCTGGACTACATAGTGAGATTCTGTCTCCAAAAAAAAAAAAAAAATTATCTTCTAGGGTATCATGTAGGTGTTGTTGAAGGTAAGAGAAATGACAGAAGAATGGAAGAAAAAAGACTTTGTTGTTTTGAAGGAAACCAAAGATAGGAAAAGCAACTGGACAAAAATAAAAAGTACAGAATAGGAAGATAATATTCAGTAGTAAAGCCTGAAAATACATAGGAAAAAGTTCATTCCCATTATAATCTGTATTCCTTACTCTGCCTTAAATAGTACATTTGGGCTAAGTAGGTTACTGATTTTTAATTTTGGAGAAGTGAATTAATCCACTCTAGTGATTAGAATAAGATTTTTCAAATTGGGTTTAAATCACAATATGGTTTTAAATTCATTAAAAGAAAAAATAGCTGAGACAAGCATAGCTGCAAAACTTAAAGGCATGCAATAAAAATGCCAAAAAGTAGTCACTTTTTCATCAATATCATCAAACCTTACTCATGGATTCAAATTATTAGGCTATTTAATTTTCTTTTTCTACCCATATTCATTTCACAAGTTACAAAAGAACAAAGAACAAAACCTGTGAGTCACTAGCACTGCACCCTGTGGACACGAGAAGCGGTTTCCACAGATGCAGCCGTGAGCAGCAGTCCGGCAAGGAGACAGGAGGCACTGCCCTCCCAAGCACCTGGGCTGGGTTTCACGGTGTCACCATCAGCCTTGGCCATGGTCTTTTTCATTCTTTTCTTAGTACTGTTAGTCACTTTCTAGTTTTCACATATAAGCAATCTGCTTCCTAAAGACTGAAGATACATTTAAAACTTCAGAAATGAAGTGCAGATCTCAATTTTGAGATTTTAAAATTACACCATATTAGCTGGGTGTGGTGGTGCATGCCTGTAATCCCAGTGCTCTGGAAGGCTGAGATAGGAGGTTTTCAAGTTCACTATGGATTTTTACCTACTAGATTAAAAAAGGCCCCGGAGAATATCTGTGAATTATCCTTCTTTTGAAACACTAAAGAGAGAACATGAGGTAAGAGAGGTAAGTAGGACAAAGCATGACAGCAAAAGTCCAGTGAGTAGGCAGCAATGCACAGTGGACAGCAGTTTATTGGTCTCTCAGCAGTGAAGTCTCCTCCTCTTGGGCAGTTTGCTCGGGCACTGCAGCTGCATACCTTTGGTGGTATCGGATATGCTATTTAACAAGGCACACATCATATCTCCCTCTAAGTGGTGAGGGTTTAGTATATGGGCTGGCCGCTGAGTCTTCTTAAATTGATTCTCTAGCTCCAGAAAACCTTGATCTCCTGAGAGGATGGTGAAAGGAATCTGCTTGGGCAGCTGTTCATCTAGACGACCAGCCTAAGTTGGAACAAATGGCACAGGATGATAAAAGTCAGCGTGAGTTTCAAATCAAGTTACATTTGTTTCCAAATGGACACATACCTATGAAGCTATATAAGGCTTATTCCCTAGCCCCCACCTTCCTAAATGAAATCTGCCACATTTAAACAAAGATAAGATGCCATCAAGTATAAGCTATTTTATACCACATAGGAAAATGAAAAGTCAAAATGAAGACCAAAAGGAAGCCCTCACAGAAAGCAGGAACGCCAAGGACTATCCACTCCATGTAAAGATAAAGAAACAACTCTACCACAGAGAAAAGTCACGCAAGGTAACATGCATGATTCAATTCTGGCACCACAGAGGGAGAAGCAAATCTCGCATGGTTTAAGCCAGATCAGCAATTAACATGCCTGTGGAGTATAGCAGTGTGACACAAAAGCCTTCAAGCAGAAAATTTAATATTGAGTGGGTCCTAGGCCAGCAGTTTCTCCAGGTGACTGGAAAAGGCAGACGTAAATGCAAATTCTATCTAGCCAAAAGTGACTACTAAGGTGCCACTCTATTTCAGGTGTTAAAATAGGAAAAAATAAGTACAGATTTTATCTCTGTACAGTACTTGTACAGAGCAAGTACAGCATCATCTCTTGGTAATTCATTCCACAACAATTAAGGGTCGGCTGCGCCCTGCCCTGGCAGCAGTGATAAAAACCTGACACAGACGCACTGGTACAGTACTAATGGATGATCTGTTCTGTCATACAGTTCCCAAGTGGATCCTAGCTTCACAGATTTTGAATGAAACGATGACTCACATGCATACATATGGCAAAATCAGCAGCATCTTTTCTTTTACTACATCGAGGATGAAGGAAGAAACATCCAATCCTATTCAAGTAATTGTAGATCTTACAGTTGAGTGGAGGCTTCCAGTTGGTGTTTCCTCCTATTATTTTAGGAATAAATAGGTTTAAGTGAACATCAAAGAGGAAAAGACTAAACATCATTATGAAGGAGAAACATGTATTTGGAAACAGTCTTGCTGCAAGGAAAGCCCTAACTAGATTAGAATGTGGGTGACTGCAGCCTGGCACTGGCACCTTGCTATTTTACAGTCCTGGGAAGGGAGACCAACTTTCCTCATTCTACTTACTTATCTTAAAACTCATAGGAATGTTGCACAGAATCAAAAGTAATGTGTAAAAGCTTTTTCAATGGCACTGTTCTATATGAATGCAAAAATCAGTGGTTGTTACAAATATGCCAAGCATAGGCAGCAGACAGAAATGATAAGGCAACCACCAAAGCTAGAATTCTTAGCCAGGCACGATAGTGCATGCCTGTAATTCCAGCACTAGGAGGCTGAGGCAGGGTGACTGCTGCATGTTTGAGACCACCTTGGGCTTCATACTGAGTTCAAGCCCATCTTGAACTACATAGTGAGACCCAGACTCAAAAAAAAAAAGCAATTCCTAATGAACCATCACAGCTAGACTTCAAAAAACATTATACTGGGCAATTTATTCAGGTCTGTATGTTTGCCTCCTTAATCCCAATCCTGTCCTTTATAGGCTGTTTCCTCAAATAGGAACTATATCAGGTTCTCCCTATAGTAAATGTCTGTAAGCCAAGGAATCCGTTGCCCTAGGTCCAATCAATGGTTTGTTGAAGGATTTAGTTGAAGTTGAATACTTAAAAGCAGCACGGATGAACAACAGAGGCAGTTGTGGCATGCTGAAAATGACACCAAAGTTCAAATGAAACCAAAGTTCAAATGCTAACTCTGGTTTTTATTAGTGCTAAAATTTTAAAAATATAACTTCTCAGTCTGCCTCTTTGTACTTAAGAAGGGAGACAAGAGTAATAATCAGTAGCCATGTTTATACCAAGCAATAGTGCCAGGCAAATCACAGGCACCAAATAAAGCCTTTAAAAGTCCGTATCAGGAGATGCACAAACTTTGGGTCACCAAATAGCATTAAAATTAACCAAGGAGGCATGTAAAAAGAAAAATATACTAGCACAGTAACTGTAATGCAAAGTAACAATATTCAAATTATGTTTGTATGAACTATTCAGGAAGGTTCAAGTGAATCTATTCTGGGAAGAGGGTGTCTCAAATGTTTTTTTTATTAACCATACCTTGAAAGCCCCAAATAAATGTTCCTTGGTTAAGATGTCCTGGTAGATGACCAAAGAAGTTGGACCAATTATCAAAATCTACAAAGACTATATGAGTCATGGTTCGCAAGTAATCCAAATCTGGAAGCTCAACTTCTTCCTCTGAGAACACAGAAACATTAATGTAAGTTCAGTAAGACTTTGCTAAAAACATTTAATTTCTCAAGTCTAAAATACAGAGGCCTCATATGCAAAAATATGAATTTTGCATGTTATTCTTATCTATCTAGACTTTATGAAATCTGTGTATATGACAGTTAATACTTAGATTTAAAAGTCACAGTATTTCATATTTAACTATACATCCTTGTATAAACTATCTGCCTTTGTCATAAAGCATGTATGTATATATGTATTTATTTATGTACGTGCTGGAAACTGAACTCAGCACCTTTCGCTTGCCAGGCAGGTGCTTGTTGCCAATGAGCTATAAAAAGTTTTTTGAAAAGTCACTTATAAAAGGAATAGTTTTAATTTCAAATAACCAAGAACTTGTACCACCCATCAAAACAAAATTTCAAAGTTACCTGTGAAACCAGAATTTGCTTCTTGTTCTAATCTAGACGGATTTACTAGCAGCCCTCCAGCTCTGTGATTAAAGACCCTCAGAAGCGAAGCAGGATGACCTGCACCCCTGCTGCTGTGAAGTGGTGATGGACGAGGTGCGGAAGGCACAGGAGCACCGTGAACGTGCCCTCACTTGTCCTCTTGTGCTCTTCTCTCACCTTACCCCATTCTCCAGCTCTCTTTCTGCCTCCCCCTTCCCTTACTTCATCCTTTCCATGCTGACAAGGCTTTAAAGCTTCCAGTTGTGGAAAGGAAAAGAGCAAAAGACAAACATAACATGATATCATATACCCACTGCCTCACTGTTTGAAGCACTAGAGCTGATGACAGTACACGATTTAACCCATTCTCAGTAAAAACATGCCGTGACTGAAGGTGATGCTGAATCTGTGTGTTACAGAGTAAGCCTGTAAACACCAACAGGTCTTAGCTGGGTATGCGGGGCACACCTGTAGTCCTGGCCACTCAGGAGGCTGAGGCAGGAAGGGCTCCTAAGCATACAAGCTTGAGACAGGCCTGGGCTATACAGCAAGACTCCAATTCAAAATACGTATTAAAAAAAAATAAGTAAAAATAAACAAAAACTCAATGATTCATTAAAATATTTTATTAGCATGAGTTTCATATTCTGGTTGTCTCTACAATGCACAGAACTCACTAGGAGTAAATGTTTGTTTAAAAGGGTATAGAATTAAAATTAACAGGCTAAAAAATTAAACTTCTACATAAGACAAAAATATTACATTAACTACTTAATTCAGGCATTAGAAGGAAAGTCCAGAGAAAGTATAAAGGGATTCATGCTTCAATTTGTCTCCTGCTGTCACTTTTAACTCTATTTCTAATTGCTATTTAACTCTCTGCTAAATCTCTGTTTCCAAGTAAATCATAAAAATACACAAATGCTGAAATTATTTTTAAGATTTTTAATACTTAAAGAATAAGGCCAAATATATATAAAAAGAATCCATCTGGCTTTTTGTTTGTTCTTGTTTTGTTTTCTCAGTCCTTGGGGACTAAATTCAGGACCTTAGCACTGAGCCACACCCCAAGCCTTTTATTTTTATTTTGAGATGGGGTCTTGCTAAGTCACTGAGATGCCCAGGCTGGGTTTGAACTTGTGATCTTCCCCCTTAGCCTTCCAGAGTGCAGGGATTACCGATGTGTGCCGCCAGGCCCAGATTGTTGTTGTTGTTGTTGTTGTTTTTTAAATGAACCTACATATGTAATAGAAAACCTAAATGATAAGTAAGGTCCAGAATAGCTATCATATCTGATTTTTAGAAAATCAACTTCCTTCATCTCTCAAAATCTCAATGTCTTTTGTAAAAGAATAGAAAATGAGATCTAAAATATATGTTCTTAAAGCCAAAACATTCTTTCTCCCCTTATGTTTAGGAAATGGATGAATGAAGAACAGGGATACACAGCCCTTAGAAGCACATGCTGTAGTAACTGATGAAACGTATTACCCTACCCCATTTCTTCCTTCAAAGCTGGATCACTAAGTCACAGAAACGTGGGTGCATGCATGTCCATTTCCACAGTAGCACATGAGTCTGCAGAGCAGTACATTCATACCTGTAATCTGGCAGCTTAAGTCGTCTTCGGCTCCTTTCTCCGAATCTGAATTTCTTGGACAGCTCACTGCTTGTTTCAGTTTTTCCTCTGCATGTGAGGCACTGGCAGTGAACTTGTATGTGTTTCCTTTTTCAGGTCCAAACGGAGCCAGGCTGGCTTTCTGGAAGAAGGCGTGTTTCCTGTGGAAGTGCTGCTGGGCACTCTCAGGATTGTGAAAGGCTTTGGTGCAGATGCCGCACTTGATGACGTACGGCTGCTGCTCTTCACTCTTCTCGTCTCTGTGCATCTGACGGACGTGAGTGTTCATGTCAACTAAATTTTGTGCTGTTGCTGAACACAAACTGCAGCAAAACCATAGTTTACCTTTATCCAACATGACTTGGAGACATCTACCATAATCTTCCTTTCTGTTGACCTTACAGATGTAACTCTCATGGCAGCCACAGGTTAACAGGTTACTGGTCTCTACAACTGAAAAATCCTCCTCAGTTTTAATAGAAGGTTCAGTTTTTTCTGACACAAACACGTAATCTATGCTGTGGTGCTCCTTATAATGAGTTAGAAATGCTTCTTCCACGTTAAAGATAAGATCACAAAGCCCGCAGAAGAATTTGATCTTTATCTCACTGTCATGTTCGTCTCGGCAGTGTCTATGTAACGTTTCTATCTTGTGGAAAGTCTTTCTGCAGTGAGCACAGCTGTATCTATGAAACTGGTGACTTGCCAAAGACATACAATGCTGTTTTACACTTTCCTGGGAATCAAACATATCTTCACAAATTCGGCACTGCCATTTACCCCTTGGGGGGCTGTTTGTCAGAAAATGATCTACAACAGTAACAGCTGAAGGGGCCTTGTTAGCAACCAAATTACTCACCATAGAAGATGACGGCAAAGTTTCATCTTCTATCTCATCCACCTCATAAAAATATCTGTGTCCATTATGAAATTCAGTCACATGTGCCATAATAGTATCTTTCCTTCTTAACTCCTTTTTGCATGTCCGACACCAAAAAAGAAAGTTATTTAAATGTGCCCCTCCATGAATCCGGCTCATGTGTAAACGGATAACTCCTGAATCTTCACATACCTTTCCACAGACCACACACTTGTAACACATTGTGTTTGCCAAGAAAACATGCTTCTCTACTGCATCTTCACTTGGGAACCGCTGACTGCATTCACAAAACCAAGTTTTAACTACTGACTTTTGCTTCTGGACAAAAAGCATCCTTTCCTGGCTTTTATCTTCTAAACTCATCTTCTTCCTTGGAATGGTACTGCAGTCCTGTGAGCCAGATTCTTTAACAGACACAGCTCTTTTAAGTGATGAAATTTTTGGATGATCTAACAGTAAATTCAAGTCAGAAGGAGATTTATTCCTTTCACTGCTATGGCAGTAAAGTAAGACTGCTTCTTCCACTGAGTTAATGACCCGGATTTTGTGTCCTGAATTCTGCTTGTGAGTTCGGGTGCTGGTTTCATCCACAAAGACTTCGTTGCAATTTGGACAATAACCTCTTAATAGGAATTTTTCTGCAACTTGGGTAATGCTTTTTTCAGCTATCGCTACAGGTCCAGCATTTCTACAACGCATCCTAAATTGGATTTAAAAAGAAAAAAACTCCTTTAAAGGTATTTTCTAAATATGTCATCTCTTTTTATGACAGCAATTTTTTATGATAGGAATTTTTAAATTAAGCTCTACAAGATACTTTTAAATAAAGATGCAGATGAGTTAGTGGTAGTATATTATCTCAAATTATCTTAATATCACTTATACTTTATTTCTAATTCATATGGAAAAGGTTAAAATTAGAACTAAAAGGTTAAAAAATATTAAAGTAAACTTTAAAACATTCAAATCAATATCAAATGCATTGACTGAGGACCTTAACACCTTATCAGAGAAGCAAATTAAACACTGAGTTAATTACAGGATATAGAGGAACCCTACGGTAAGCTTCTAGTCAATCTGCCATTTACTTTTTCAGAACAGATTAAATTTATGTCAGGAATATTCCATGCCCATATTTGCTTTTACTTAAAGAACAAGACTCAGGAAGACCAATCACTGAGCCCTAGGCTACAACTTTCTGTCTCTAAGATTTCCTATCCTGAAATTTTGTATGAAATTATACAGTAAGTGGACTCTTGCATGTATCAATATGTGATTCCTTCTTATGGCCAAATAGGTTTCCATTGAATGGATATGCCACATTGTATTTACTCGTTTGTCAGTTCATGGACATTTGAGCTGTTCCCAATTACTAAGTATTATGACCAACAGGGCTATAAACAATGTAGAAGTCTTTTGTGTAGCCAAGTATTTTCATTTTTCTTGCCTGTATTCCTAGAAGTAGAAATTCCTGGGTCATATGATAATTCTATGTTTAATTATTTAAGGAAAGAAAAGATAAATATTTTAACTACATAAAAATGAAAACACACTTTATTAAAATCTGTAGAGTTAGGAAAGGGCAGTGATCAGTGGGATATCTACACCTGTTAGTATATTTAATATTGCAAAAGGATCCAAAGTCAATCAAAGCTTCCACTTTAATAGGCCAGGAAAAGATAACAGAATTAAGCACAAAATAGTATGTTCCTGCTGGCTTGAACCACCAGTGGTAAAAGGCACCCTGTAGTAAGACATGAATTACAGCCCCATTGAGATTGTAAAATAGAAATTAATAAGCTACAAAATGGGCAAATAGTAAAAACTCATCAAAGAAAGGAGGAAAAAGATCATCAGTGAAATCAAATGTTGGTTGTTTAAAAAGAAATCAATAAAAATTTAAGATAAGTAAACATAAAAAACATAGACGTTTAAAAAATATGATAAATTATATTCCTGAAACAAGAATTAGCCAAGGTTTCTCAGAATACAGGATGCCTACAAACTACACTCAATGGGATTAAAAGAAGCTGGGTGTGGTGGCACACGCCTGTAATCCCAGCACTCAGGAGGCTGAGGCAGGAGGATCACTGTGAGTTCAAGACGAGCCTGAGCTACAAAGTGAACTCAAGGCCAGCCTGAACTGCATAGCGAGACCCCGTCTCAAAAAAAAAGATTAAAAGATTCTGCTCATCAAGAGAGAAAATCAACAATTTGGGAATGAAAACCATAGGCTGGGAAATATACTCAGGTTTCAGCCTTTTGTGTTGCTATAACAAAATAACTGAAACAGGGTACTTCATCCAAAAGAGAGGTTAGTGAAGCTTACAGCAGGGAGGTTCAAGGCCAGAGGCTGCATCTAGCCAAGGGCCCCTGCTCCTCGGAACACAGGGGGTGGTATTATTTCTGAGAGAGCAGAAGGAGAAGAAGGGCCGCGCCTCACCACACTGCATCTCAGAGACCTGATGCAGCCTTATGAGACCACAGAGCCCTGTGGCCCTGTGCGGCAGGTACCGAACCCCAACAGGGTCCCTCACCTCCCTTCTCCCATGCCAGTCCTCACAGGTCCACAGCTCAGCAATGCCAGCACAAGCAGGTGCTGAGCTTACTGCACACTTTTGGGGTAGAGTCCATGCCAAACTACAGCACATATGTTCTAGGAAGTCCTATAATCTTGATACAAATTTGACAAAGATTCACATTTAGAATATATAAAAAACTCCAATTCACAAAGCAGCAAACAATGCACTTTTTAAAACAGATAAAATGCCTTAGAGCTTCACAAATACAAACAAATGGCCACAAATACATAAAGTGTTCATCACTGCTGATCCAAAAAATGCACATTAGCCTGGTGCAATGGTGCACTAACTATAATCTCAGCTACTTAGGAGGCTGAGGCAAAGGATCACAAGTAGAAGCCCAGCATGGGCCACTTAATGAAACCCTGTCTCAAAATAAAAATAAAAAGGGTTGAAGACATAGCTCAATAGTAGGATACTAGCCTAGCATAACAAAGCCCTATGTTCAATCCTTAGTCATAAACACTCTCCCCAGCCCCCCCCACCCACAAGAAAGAAACATATTAAAACCACAGTGAGACACAAAAATAGCTAAAATGAAGTTAGCAACATTAAATGCTCGCAAGGATAAGATCAATAGCTTGTTAATAAGCATGTATATTGGGGGAAAATGTTCAGTAGTCTCCTATAAAGTTAAATATACAAATACACACCTAATTACAACCCAGCAATCCTAGTCCTACATGAGCCTTGAAACCTATGCTCACAAAGACCTGTACAAAATGTTCACAGCAGCTTTATTCACAACAGCTATCAACTGTAAACGACCGAGATGTCCATCTGCCCTAATGTGACGAACAAGCTGCACTATATTCATGTAACACATCATCATTCACCAGTAAACAGAAACAAGGTACGAAACAATATAGAGAAAACTCAGACGTCACAAGTACAAAAGAGCAAACACAATCCCCTTTACATGCAGTTGTTGAGGTGATACAGTTAACAAAAAGATAAAATTACCAGAACAGAGACTGCCATCAGGGGTGGCTGGCCAGGGACACAGCGCAGCAATATATATTTCAGTTATTATGTGGGCTAAATAGACATATCCACTTGTCAAAAACCATGAAAGTTAAAATTTGCACATTGCAATGAATGTACACTTTACCTAAGGAAAAAAAATCTTAAAAAATAAAGGAAGTCGGCAATACACAGAAATATAAATTAAAAAAAAAAGGCATCCATACAACCCCAGTAGTCTGGGAGGCTGAGGCAGCAGGACCACAAATTCATGCCCAGCTTGAGCAACCTGGTGATTTAGTAAGATCCTTCTTGTAAGAAAAGTTTTAAAAAGCTTGGGGATGGATATAGCTCAGTGAGAAGGCTCTAAGTTCAATCCCCAGTACTGTTAAAAAAAAAAAATCTGAACGGCAGTGTTGGTAAGCAGTGAAGCTGCAGATGGGTGCATGGGTGTCCTTCACACTATTCTGTTCAGTTCTGTAGTTAAAATGTTTAATAATAAAAAATTAAAAGACATAGCCAAAATTGACACTCACGAAATGCAAGCTGGAGAACCAGCCTCTTAACCACTATATTCTGCTGCCTCAGTTTTATTACGTTCTGAGAGAGCGAGGGAGAAAACAGAACAGCATCAAAATGCAAACCACAGACTGATCACAATTACACAAAGCAACTACAAAAATGTGACAAAGTCTTCAGGAAATCCTGATAACTGAGTAGGTAATTTGGTATTTAAAAATTTGCTTTTTGAGGTGTGATGATGGCATTAGAGCTGTATTTTACTGGAGCATGTATGAGTAGAATGATATCTAGAATTTGCTTCCCAATTACTAAATTTGCTTCAAATTTAAGCAGTATGAATGAAACATGACTGTCAGCGTTGATTACGGGAAAGCACACTGGGGTGCATTACACTGTTCTCCATACTTTGGTGTATGATTAAAATCTTCCTCTGTAAAGACAAACAGAAATCCTACTGGAATCCTTTCTGATCACTTGATAAATTTAGCCTTCCACCGAGACTCAGTCTTCCAGACACAGACGCATTCCACTCAGGTGCGCTTAGAGACAAGGTGCTGGTCTAACTTCTTCTCCCCATCTCACACATGGCACACTCGCGCTTAGAACTACTGGCCTATTCACCTGCACAGCAGTATCACTGTCCCCACCTCGAACTTCTCCCATGACCACAGATTTGGCTGATTTCCAGGAAAATGTACACTCTCATTGTCGAAGAAGAGAAATGTGGACCAGGAAAGTATTGACTAAATCCTCTCCTCTGACTGGTAAACCAACTCTCAGCCTAAGACTGGACTTGTACAAACCTGAAATGGGCAGTGAGCTCCATGTGGGAATGCAGTGTCTGGTGGCAGGCGACACACTTCACTTGAAAAGGAACGTCTTTACACAGAGAGATCAAAAGTTTCTTTGCAAAAGATGGAAATGGTATTGGATGTGCCATTCCCTTGTTATCTAGAAGACAAGATAAACTGTGACTTAAGTGATTTGAATAACCATCAGCAGGATTAAGCAGAAGGTATTTTTTATGTAATAAAGACCTAAAAGAAGCCATTTTGTAGCCTTAAATATTAAGGATGCCTTATATACAAATTAAAATTTGAGTCTTAATTGCAGAGAAACCCCAACTTTCTAGACATCAAGGACATAACAAAAATCTTACCCTGAGTAAATGTTTTCTTCCCAATTTCCTCTTCACTCATGAAAGTCTTACCAATAGGTACAAATACTAAAAATCTTTTTAAAAGTAATAAGGATTAAAGCATGATGGCACACTCCTGTTAGTCTAGTTACTAAGGAGGCTGAGGCAGGAGGATCCCAAGTTCAAGCCCGGCCTGGGCAACTTAGCAAGATTCTGTACCAAAATAAAACAAAAAGGGCTGGGATGTGGTTCAGTGGCAGAGTGCTTGCCTAATATGTGCAAGACTCTGGGTTCAATTCCCCAGTACCCCAAAATAGTTAACAAGTAAAACATAAATCTTTCACTTTTATGGTTATGAAACCAATAAGGATGAATAATTTCAAGAGTGATCTGATCAAAGTGTGTTATATGTGTAGGAAACCCATTTTTCTGTATACTGACCACGCACAATTAAAAAAAGAATGATCTGAGAAGTCTGATAAATTAGCAAAGATTAAAATGGTTTAATAATTTTCAGCAGAAGAATTATTAACATACCACCTAGTTTAAAACTCTGATGGAAATGATTCTTTCCAGACATATGCTTCAAACAATCATCCTTGCTGCCAAAAAGGAGGAAGCAATTTGGACACGCGAAACACTGAATCATCTGAGGAAGGAGATTGCTGTTGTGTCCATCATCTGCACCTTCCTACAATGTAAGACAAAGCTTTATTATAGACAACTAAACGCAATACTTTTAAACACAACTTTCAACTTTTCCTATTTAGTTTTTACTTGGAAAAAACACTTTTTCTAATTTTTTGTTCTGCCCACTCTACTCTCCAATATAACTTATGTTACAAATACAGCTGGGGTGTGAGGACTGTACAAGTCTGAGGCCATCCTGAGCTACATAGTGTGTTCAAGGCCAGACTGAGCTATGTAGAAACCCTTTCTCCAAAAAAACTCCCTCTCTCTGCTTAATCATTTACAAAGATATATAGAAATAAACTTGCACGAGCAATGTCATTGTTTTACCCAATGGATCTGAGTCAATCATTAATTTCTAGGGCTGTTTTTATTTTGATCCTCCTCAAATATAATGATTATTGTAAACATCTTTAAATATATACCTTTGCTATAAAGGTACGAAAGAATGTTCAACATCACTTGTCATTCAAGAGATGCAAATTAAAAGAACGCTGAGGGGGCTGGGGATTTAGCTCAGTGGCACAGCGTCTGCCCGGCAAACATAAGGTTGTGAGTTCAATCCCTGGTACGGGAAAGGGGGGGGGGGCGCTGAGATTCCATCTCATTTTAGAAAGAATGGCCATCATCAAGAAATCAACCACTGACAAATGCTGGTGGGGCTGTAGGAAATAGCAACCCTTTTCCACTTTTGGTGGGAGTGTAGATTGGTGCAAACACTGTGGAAATCAGTGATTAGAGGTTCCATTTAACCCAGCTATTCCCCTGCTTAGGATCTTCCCAAAAGAATGAAAAGCATCAAACCAGAGGGCTATATGCACACCTTTATAGTGGCACAGTTTGTAACAGCTAAATCTTAGAAATAGCCCAAATGCCCATCAACTGATGAATGGATAAAGATGTGTTTTTTTAATACAGTGGAGTATTACTCTGCCATAAAGAAGGATAAAACTGAGCCATTTCTAGCCAAATAGATGCACCTTGAGACCATAATCTTAAGTGAAAAAAGAGACACGTGTTCTCTGATGTGAGAAACCGAAAGTGTAAATAAGGACCAAAATGCATAATAGATACTGGGAAATGGGAAGAAAATGTCCAAATGAGAAGGGGAAAAAAGGAGGGAGGAGAGGGAAAGGAAAGAAAGTCCAAGAAAAAAAAAGAAGGAAAAAATGAAAACAAAGCTTTCATAAATAAGGAGGGGAAGAAGGATTGAAGGGGGAGGATAGGGGAATGGGAAAAAAGCAGCAAAATGTATCATGTACAGGTAGTACAAATTCTCTAGGATAAATGTTATTACATGTATCTAAAATGCACCAATGAAGTAAAAATTATCTATACACACACACACACACACACACACACACACAACTTTGCTCACAGATTTTTTATTCTCATTATCAGAAGTGGCTCTGATAGGGCAAAAGGGTATACATATCTGAATATTAAAAGACGCTGCACACACAAAAAAAATAAAAGACACTGCATGATTGCTTTTTTTAGCTGTAGCGAGTCATGTAGCCCCTAGCACTGAGCGAGCCTGGCAGCAACAAACATTATGGATCTTTAAATTTTTGCCAGTCAGCAGATGATACTCATTGTTATTTTATTTTCTATTTTCTGTCTACAATTGAGTTTGAGCATTTATCTGGGTATCTGGATTTAGTAAGCGATTTCTTACTCATTTCCTTTAGCTTTATTTCCAATTGTTTTTTCCTGCTTCATCAATTTGTATCAGCCTGTTGTTACTGGAATTAATTTCTCTAAGTTATTTTTACAGACATCTATCTATTCATTTTATCATTACTTTTTCAAATTTTGATATAGTCAAATGGGTATGTCTTTTCTGGTACTTAAGTTTCCAACCTTGGTTAAGTGCTTTTTCTATCCTAAAATTAGAAATTAAAAAAGAAAAGTTTATAAGTATATTTATATGTGGGTGAGATTATAGATATAATTTAACTTCTTAATGATCTTTAGAGTAACAACTCCAAAAATTGTATTATGACTTCTTACATTACACTACAAGTATAACAATAACTGCACAGTGCTTACCAGCTGTACGGGGGACAGGCAGAGAGAGAGAATTTACCTTTACACTGTACTGAGTACAGGGCAAATACCACACTAGGACTCTGAATATGTTTACCCGTGTAATCCTTATAACAACCCCATGAGATGCAGTTTTCATTACTTACAATTGCCATCTCCACTCTGACCAACAAATATGCTGCACCCTGAGAGAGACAAATCTACCATTCAAATCTAGATTCGTATCTTTGGTTATTAAGTCTGTGCTCTTTTCATTACTTCCTCTCCTAACCCCTGTTCCTGTTTTAACTAGGAAGGTGCCACACAGAAAAAGAAACGCCTGAGAAGACATTCTGAATTTCCATTAGAATGTTCTAAATAACAGCAATACATTTACTAATCACCCACTTATACAGATTTCTTCTACTTGATGAGCTTAAACTAAGTAAATAAAACAATTTTAGTTCAAGTGAGAGTTATATACAGATTAAAAATTAAAGCCTATTTAAATTATTTGCTCAGTAAAACCACTAGAGGATTCTATATAAAATTTTACTGAAACATACTTATTACAAAAGCATGGCATATTAGCAAACACATTTTACAAATTGGGAGAGAGAACAGGAAATGTAGAAAAATGATAGGTCACACTGTGGTTAAATTACAACGGAAGACACAAATTTGTATACCAAAAATAGGAGAACCACAAGGTACCTATATTCAAAGAGACAGGTAATAGGAGTTGGACAGGATATGAATTATTGAAGCCTGCACCCACTGCAGATGGGAAACTAAAACAGTGCAGTGTATTGGACAATGGGCAGTTCTGCCAAAACTTATTTTATTTATTTTTTTGTTTTGTTTTGTTTTCCGGTACCGGGAACCAAACTCACGACCTTGCGCTTGCCAGGCAGGCGCTTTTGCCACTGAGCTAAATCCCCAGCCCCTCTGCCAAAATTTAAAAGAGGCATCATGTGACCCAGCAGCTTAATTATTATTAGAGGAATGACAATACATTTTCACATAGATTTGGATGATTATTTATAGAAGCATTATTCATAACAGTAACAAAATAAGAACAATCCAAACATTCATCAAGGGATGAACTGATAAACTGTGGCTCGTATCTATACACAAAATATTGTCTGACAATAAAAAGAAATAAAAGCTCTAATACAGCCTACAATATCGATAAGCCCCAAAAACCTGATAAGCTCACATACTTGTTTGAGTCCGTTGATATGAAATGTTGAGAACAGACAAATCCATTGGACAGAAAGTAGGTTAGTGGTGGTCTAGAGCTGAGGGGGATGGGCTAGTGTAGCGGGAAAAAAATCACCTTAGATGACACAATACCCTTAAAAACAATAAAGTGTAAGAGTTCCTACTGACCCAAAAATTCACTGAGTCACACTTAAGGACAGCCACCACTACCATCACAAAAAGGGGAAAAAGCAAGACACTGCCCAGTGATGCAATACCCACCAGGTGTCTTTCAGGTCACAAGGCACTAACAACTTGCTACTCAAAGTGTTACCCAAGGACTAACATCCTTGGCATCAGGTAGGACCATATTAGAAATAGGAATCTAAGGCACCATCAGGCCAAATGAATATGCATTTTAACAAAGCTCTTAAGTAATTTATATGCACAATGTACTTTAGAACAGCAGGTCTACAGGGAAGAAACTGGAAATGCAAGAAAATGGGGAGGGAGAGGAGGAAAACAATACAAATTATCAATAACCTGACGGTTTCATTGGAGAATGCCACCTTTAAAACACAGAACTCTGAGGTACGGGAAACAATGAGGCTTATGCCATCTTCTAGCGACCTCTTCTGGTTGATTTAAAACAGACAATTAACCTAATGCAGACTAGTTTACTGTATAACAAATACAACAAAAAATACACAAGAAGCATGCAGTTAGGATGATGGGCTGGGCCCAAAGTGCCTTATAGAGTATCACATCATAACAATCTTCTATGCAAATATAAGACTTCGCCAGAGAAAAAGACACTGAGCTCACAGCTCAATAACTCGCCAGGAGCTTGCATCTAATGAAAGTGACAGTGGAGCCTTGGTTTGTCTAACATCAGTCTTTGTTCTGTTTTACCAACTGCTTCTCAAAAAGCTGAATGTCGTTAAGTCTACTTCTAGAGAAAAGGCAAGACAGGGCACAATAGCCTGGAATGTGTAATACCCAGAAAGAAAAAAAATGGAAAAATTAATGAAATTTGGGGAACACAAATGAAAGAATTAATTTTAAGGTTAAACTACCAATTCATATTAACAAGAGAGACAAAAATGCTCATTACAATAGAGAAAAACATATAAAGCATGAAACAAGGAAGAACTGAAAGAACTCTAGTTCTGAAAAAGGGTGAATTACTAGTGACCTATTTTACACACACTAAAAAAATCAGGAAATGAAGTTATTTTGCAACATTCTTCCCTTTTTTCAGTAATTATTTATGCATTTAAGTTTCTAACACCACTATTTCTAATTGTAAGACAATTTAGGTATCTTACGTAAGAATATCTGTCTGTCCATCCATCTAAGGAGAAACACTAAAAATGTATGTATCAAAATGTTAACAGTGGTTGCCTATCTCTGTGAGATTCAGATGAGTTCTTCCTGTTATTTTCTTCTTGTTAATATTTTTAAAAATTTTCACAATAAACATCTATAGTCATCCCTCAGTATTTGTGGGGAAACAGGTTCCAGAATCTACTATAGATACCAAAATCCGATGCTCAAGTCCCTTACATAAAATGCTGTAGTATCTGAGTGTAAGCTATGGACATCCTTTCACATTAAATCATCTCTAGATAATTTGTAATACCTAATACAATGTAAACACTAAGTACATATGATAATACTGTATTGTTAAGGGAATATTAGCACGGAAAAAAGTTTAATACACGTACATTTCTTTGTTTAGTATTTTTGATCCAGTTTGTTAAAAAACACTAATGCAAAGCCCATGGACATGGAGGGACAACAAAAGATATTTCTGCAATGTAAGTAAGTCATTAAAGACATCTGTATCAAATGATAAAAACCTATTAGAGCTCTATATTATGTGGATTTGCATATCTATGCAACAACTCCTGTCCCTTGAGATTTAACACTTAATCAAAGCTTAAATACCAGTCTTACATACTAGTTCTATTTCATAATACTAGCATTAATCCAGAAATTACTACTAATCAGGGCAGTGACAGGTACTGGACATAAGAATGGAGTTCTATTTCTTACCATGTGACCCACTCAAGGCATCCCGAACAAGGTAATTTAATTTTATAAAGCAACTCCATGAAAGGAAGGGTTTCAGCGATAATCTCTAGGACTCCTAACTTGTAAGCATTATGTTTACCTGCTTGTAAGTCAGTGTCCCAAATCATTTTATTTTCCATAGACAATGATAATTATTATCCTTATGTGCATCATTAGAATTGCAAGCTTATGAAAAAAGCCTGCTATTAGGACATGCTCTTACCTTAGCAAACAGGTGCTCCCTATATTGCTGCTGAGTAACAAACTGTCGATAACATACTACACAAGCAAAAGAACTGGTGAAGGGTCCATGTAATGTAATTGTTGGATCACACGGAGAGTGATCAAACCTATTCAGCAAAAAAGAAGTAAGCTTAGGAAGATATGTATTCTAGGGAATGAACTATTTTGCTTCATATGTGAAATTAAACATATATACACTCAAAACTTTTTGTACTTCTCTACTGAGATACTAATATTCTTCGAAGTAAAGACGTATCAAATAGCTCCCACATGAATAGCTGGATAATCCCCTCACATACTGAACAAGAGTTAGATTAACGTTTCATAAAAGTATGCAAGCTTCAATAAAATGGACTTAAAACACTTTTGGCCAAACTACCGTAGTGAACTTCTAACTTGAAAACTATTATTAAGTCCATCATCTTTTCCTTCTTGCTTGGATAATCATAAGGATCACAAAAAACTTTAAGCATGGTAATAATAATTTCATGTTAAGGTTTCTGGCAAAGGCTGGGGATGTACTTCAGCGGTAGGGCACTTACTTGCCATGTATGAGGCCCAGGGCTTACTCCCCCAGCACCATAAAAAAAGCACAAACAAAAAACAATTTCACAGATTTCTTTTTTTGTTGTTGTTGTTGTTTTTTTTTCCGGTACCAGGAATCAAACTCGCAACCTTATGCTTGCCAGGCAGGCACTGTGTCACTGAGCTAAATCCCTAGCCCCAATTTCACAGATTTCTATTTCCTTTTTTTTTGGTTTCTTTTTGAGATAGGGTCTCGCTGTGCAGTTCAGGGTGGCCTTGTAGTCCAGGTTGGCCTTCAACTCTCGCAGATCCTTCTGCCTCAGCCTCCTGAATGCTAGGATTACAGGTGTGCAACACCATGCCACACCAGGCATTTCTATTTCTTATAAATGTTTAAAATAGTTTCAATGTTCATTTAACCATTTAGTAGATGTGTATAATTTTGAACTGCCTTGAAAACTTTTTAAAAGATAGTGCATGAGCAGAATGACTCATCTGGAAAAGGCAGTGGAGACCCAAACTCTCAATTTCCTTATCTTTCAACTGTCAGGAAGGAAAACTGGGAGAATGTTTAATATCCTTAGTAGCACCTTCCCCTGATACTTACTTTTTCATGTTTTAATGTGAAAAATATCAGCAAACTGATAAAATAGCTTTCATAGATAGAATTTCTCATCATTATTTTTGCTTACAATGGATGGCTGGTAGTATTTACTTTGTAATGCAGTATTTGCTTCTGCAGGACAGATCAAATATCTCTAAGTGTATCTTGAAATTTGTATTTATGGGCTGCATATCAATAAAATTCATTCAGCTACATTTCTTTTTTTTGTTTTTTGTTTTTTCCGGTACCAGGAATTGAACTCACAACCTTGCGCTTGCCAGGCAGGTGCTGTGCTGCTGAGCTAAATCCCCAGCCCCATCAGCTACATTTCAATGTAAAGTCTGTTCAGCATTTTATAAGACATTGGGGGAATATACATACTTAAAGGCTACAGCATAAACAAGACAGAATATCACTAGAAAAATATAACTTCGATAAGCCTTCTAGGAAACCTAAATATCAAGATAATTACACAAAATAGCACAAAGAACTTGAGTTTTAACTATAAAGCTGTAATCACAATGGCAGAGGTGCCACACACTCATTAACAAATAACATTGGGAGCTTGGGTTTTGCAGCTAGCAGTAGAGCGCTCATCTACCATGTGCTACACTCTGAGTTTGATGCCCAATACTGCAGAAAAACAAAACAAAACAAAACAAAACAACAACAAAAATTCCCTTTCAACTCACTTGACCCTCAGCATTTACAATTCTGAACATCCTACTTACCTCTTCAAATGTCCCAAGAGAAGGTGCCCATTGTCGAATTCCCTGTTACAGTGCATGATAGGACATGAAATTGGTTTCCCAGACTTTTGTATCTGACCGCCTCTTCGAAATGAACTTCTTGTTCCAGAATTAATCGTGCCTGCCTTGAGTCCTGCACGATTAGAAAACAAGTTTAAGAGTTACTACGCCAGGGACCTGTTCTTTGGACTGGTCATCAAAATTATGACAAAACAATGAAAACTTGGATATAACATCACCTAGGTGGTCTAAGCATAACTACGTCATTACAGTCTCTTTAGTAAAAGTTATAATAACCTAACAGCAAATAAAATTATTTGGGACAAAAGCAGCCCATAACACCTGTAAGCAGCATTCTCTCAAGGGAAAAATAATCCATTAAAGTCAAACAGCCAAGAAATGCTGAAGATAACATGCATTAGAAAACCAAACCCTTGCCAGGCTTTGGTAGTGTGTGCTCATAATCCCAGGGGGACGCTGAAGCAGGAGGACCATTGGGAGTCTGAGGCCAGCGTGGTCTCCAAAGTGAATTCTAGGCCAGCCTGAACTGCACAGTAAAACCCTGTCTCAAAAAAATAAAAAAAATAACAATCAAGCCCTTATTCCTTCATTTCATTTAAATAAATTGGCAAAGAGCTTTCCCTTTTTTTGAGACAGTTTCATTTTGCAGCTCAGGGTGATCTTGAACTCACTTTGTAGCCCAGGCTGGCCTCGAATCTGCAGCGATCCTCCTGCCTCAGGCTCCTGAGTGCTGAGATTACAGGTATGCGCCACCACACCCAGCCTCTTGCAATTCTTTTTTAAAAGCTATTTTAAATTACATGGATATTCTGTGACGATCACGTTAATGATGTGACAGACAGGGAGGGGGAAGTGAAGAGGCATGAAGTGTCAGAGTGCTGTGCTCTGCGCAGCAGTCAGCCCCAGCCTGGAGGGTCAAGTGGCACAGGTGCCAGTGGAAACGCAGCTACGGAGCTGCTCCTTGCTGCCATCTCCCTCTCTTTCCTCTGACCCTATTTTGTCCCTTCTCCTTTCCCCTTTAAAAATTTCACTACTGAACAGTTCCCCAACATTATGCACTCGTTTATCCATGTTTATTCTTTATCCTTTTCCTTCTTAGTAATAATCATGGTTCTACAGCCACATACTTCCTATATGATTAACTGCCCTAGTTAAATTTCATTCTCATCATACACATATGATGGAAAACTTAGTTATATCGTATTTTTTAAAATTATAAAACTGCCAGAAGGACTCTGATACACTGGTATTCTGATTACTCTTTATTTTAGTACTTTTAGGGACTGTTCCACTCAAATGCCTCAAAATATTTTGTACAACAGAAAACTGGGTGATTATAAGTTTCTCCAAGGCCCCAAGCATTTAACTAGAACAGAAATTATTCCCTTAACATACTCTAGTGTTTAAAATTTTCAAAGGCTTCAGTATGTTTAAGATTTTAACTGCTTTTCTGCTGTTGTAATCCTTACTGTGAGAATATCTCCATGAAACTATCAAACTGATTGTAAATATATTCAGATAATGAAGAGCACAGCCCTAATCATTTGTTTTGTTTTGTTTTTGAGACAGGGTCTCACTATGTAGTTCAGGCTGGCCTTGAACTCACAATGGTCTTCCTGCCTCAGCCTCCCGAGGGCTAGGATTACAGGTATGTAACACCATGCCTGGCTAACCCTAATTTTCTTTGAATGCAAGGGATGAAACTCAGGCCTTTTCCATGTTAGGTAAATACTTCACCACTGAGCAACACCTCCAGCCCCATCTTTGACTTTCTGATGCAGTCAGAGTTATTACTCTGTCTATCCATACCAGATGTCTCCACCCATCAGAACCTTTATGTAGCTATAGAGATGCTGGATAAAAATTAAGTTAGAAAAACAATCTGTGGGAAGAAAACAAACCTTTCCAGTGGAAAGGGAAAATACAGAGTTTACACATCTTTTTCCTTAAATACTATAGAGAGTATTGTTTAAAATCATTAAATACTTAAATTTATGCAACCTAGGTTAGCTGTAAAGGTCTTTAAAAAAGACTGTCCAGGTTTGGGAAAATGGTTCGAAAGTACAGAATTTGTGTAACATGGGCTAGGCCATGGGCTCAATTCCCAGCACCACAAGCAAAATAACAACAACAAAGGGATTGTCAAAAATTAATTATAAATAAAATATTTAAAATAGTTTTAATCAAATGACTGAATTGTAATAGCTGAATGCTTTGGAATAGATTGAATGTGTCCATTAAATATACTAGGAGGTAAAATCTTGTTTTTTAAATAATTAAACCGAATGATGACTCCTTCAGTTTTCCCAGCTACAGCTCTCTTAAGAGATCTCCACACTCTCCAAAATCTTCTTTTTTTTTGGCAGTACTGGGGACTGAACCCAGGGCCTTCACACTGAGTTTCATTCCAGCTCTTTTAGAAGTTTTTTCTAAAGACAGAGTCTCGTCAAGTCACTAAATTGCCCAGGCTGGGCTTAAACTTGCTATCTTCCTGCCTCAGCCTCCCAGAGTGCCAGGATTGCAGGCATGTGCACATGGCTAAAACCCATTACAAAACCAATAGTATATCAATAGCTGTTGTAGCAACAGATCCCTAACTTCATTTTTACATTATTTCAGGAAAAAAGCCAAAAGCTAAAGTTATTTAAGGAAAAAAAAAAATCCCATACCTACAGAATTTAACTCCAGGTTCAAATTTATCTGCATCTACAAGCCAGGAATGAGTTGAAGGGAGACAAACACCAAGTCTTATAAGCACTAAAAAGACTCAACTAAACAACTCATTTAATGCCGGGTGTGGTAGCACATGCCTATAGTCACAGCACTTAGGAGGCAGAGGAAGGAGGATTGCAATGAGTTCAAGGCCACCCTGGGCTATGTAGTGAGTTCAAGGCCAGCCTGAACTACACAGCAAGACCCTGTCTCAAAAAACAAAACAGAACAAAACAAAACTCATTTATTTCCACTTGGTCTGCTTAGGGAAATACATAACCAGATGCTCAAGAATTCAAAAAAAAATTTTTTTTTTAAGACAGGGTCTCACTATGCTGTTCAGACTGGTCTTGAACTCACTTTGTAGCCTAGGCTGGCCTCGAACTCACAATGATCCTCCTGCCTCAGCCTCCTGAGTGCTGGGATTACAGGTGTGCACTACCATGCCCAGCAAGAATTCAAAATATTATCCATCAAAATATTTTGACAATTTGGAGGGCAGAGATCAGGCCCTAAGGGGGCTATTCCCTATGCAACAACCACTCCATTATGCAACCAGAAAGTGCTAGATTCATGTGAGATGAGCAATTTTTACATGTGATCTTAGAGATAATAAAAGTTTACAGTTCTCTTTTCACTGTCCACCTAGGTACCTCCCGCAGGCCAAGAATCTCTGGAGCACCGTGTGCTCAAACGCTCCCAGCTGGTTGTGATGCAGCTGAAGGAACACCACGGAGCCAGTGCAAACTTCCTTTCCATGGGGGAAAGGAATGCACATTAAGGACTTTTAAGAAATCACCCCAGAGGCAAAGCCATGTGCCATGTTCTCTAAATAGTTAAGGCAGTCTGGAGTGCCGTGAAATTCCTGTTTAACTGAGTTAAGTCAAAGTGGGTAGGCAAGCTCTGGACTTCAGTGTTCATTATGCAAATATTCACAGCCCATTTCAATGATACTCAACCAACCTGTACTGAGCATCTCAGTGCTGGGCATGGTTTTGTTTTTTTATGAACTGACACTATAAAGAATTAGTTAAAACTTGGTTTCTGTCCTGCAAGAGCATTCTGTGTGGTAGAAGAGACAAATATATAAACAGATCAACCCAACAGAGGGTACATAGTGGATCAGAGGAATGAATAAAATACCCTGAAGATCAAGGAAGGCTATGCACCTAACCTTATGCAGAATAAACCACAACAGATTTAACTCACAACCAGACATAATATGTAACAGCCATTTTGACTCACCAATCCTTGGTCTATTAGTCTCATGGGCAAAGAAGAAAAACACGGAAAAAATTTGTTTGTTCATATGACAAGGTTTCTTTATGTAGTTCAGGCTGGCCTTGAATTCACTGTGATTCTCCTGCCTCAGCCTCCTGAGTGCTGGGATTACAAGCGAGCACCACCACACCTGGCTAGAGAAGGTATTTTTAAACATGTGGAGTGGGGTAGATGGACTAGCAGAGTTTGTTAAACACAGAGAGGTTGTAAAGGGAAATACAGTTTGAGGGGGTGGCCAAGTGTCAAAACACCTATCCCATCAGATGTCAACTACTAAGTACTAATATGTATAAATTCCTAGAATTCTTTCATAAGAATACATGCTTTGACTGTATATGAAGGAATGCTCCCTGCAAACTAACTTTAAAATGGCAAGATACTGAGGGCTCAACAAAGGTGAATCTCATGCACAGGTACGTCTGATGGTTTTCACAATTAAACTTTCTTGGTGATTAAATCCACAGCGAAGATCTCTGTGGATATTCTATAAGAAAAGGGCCAGGGATATGGTTCAGTGGTGCAGGTCCAGAGTTCGATTCCTGGTACCAACCAAAAAAAAAAAAAAAAAGAGAAAAAGAAAAGATAGGAGTTATCACAGTGGCATTTTCCTACTAGTTGGAGGAAAACTGTTCCAGAGACCCTTTGCAGAAGTTCAGGTCTGCAAAGAGTTACTAATGAACAAAGTGCTTTACTGCTTTAGACAAGTCTCACATGGACATCTCCTTTCCCAACACCTTCACAGACTGCACAGAGGGACAAGTAAGTCCTAGTCCTCCAGATCTGTTTAAACACAGTCTCCTTACTGAAGCCTTTTTTTTCTTTCTTTTTGTTTATCTTTGAGACAGGGTCTCACTACGCAGTTCAGCCTGGATCTGAACTCACTATGTAGTCTAGGCTGGACTCAAACTCAATGATACTCCTGCCTCAGCCTCCTGCATGCACTCCTGCCAACAAGAACCACTGGTGGTACAAACAGATCTAATCACTTTTACTGGTCTTTTTACTAATGAAATTAAAGTCTATAAATAGATCAAATCTAGTTAGTTGCCTAAATCTGAATAATTACCCAAATACAAATACAGTGTTATCTCAGTTCACAAACTTGATTCTTTCCACGATTCTAGTCGAAAACCGAGAACCAAGAACTGAACCAAATTCAGTGGTTAGGTTCAGTGTTGACCCTATGGGGAAATATGATTCCTTTCTTGTCAGTTCTGTCTACAACCAGAACCATGGAGAGAATCGAGGTGCCACTGCATTAATACTATTCACACCAACTTTAAGAACTACCACGATAATGAACAAATGTATTTCTTTATCTTATTAAACTAAACAGACGGGGCTGGGGATTTAGCTCAGCGGCAAAAGCGCCTGCCTGGCAAGCGCAAGGTCGTGAGTTCGGTTCCCGGTACCGGAGAAAAACCAAAAAAA